TTATGTTTTTAGACCCATCATCTGTTCTGTTTTTTTCTGGGTGGGGGGAGGGGGAGCTGTGACACGTGGCTTGGGGACTCGTAGTTCCCTGACCAGGGATTGAACCCGGGCCCTCAGCAGTGAAAACACTAAGTCCTAACTACTGGATCACCAGGGAGTCCCCCATCAATTATTTTGTATTAATTTTTTTCTATGGTGTTTGACAGGACCCAAGATTAACTTCTTCCCATACAGATAACCAGTTGCTGGCTGAAAAGACTTTCCTTTCCCTGCGTAATTGCCTTGGCAATGTTGTTGAAAATTAACTCACCATGAACCTGTGGGTCTACTCCTGGACTCCATCCCACTTCACTGATCTGTTTCAGGGGCCGGCAAGCCTTCTCTGTAAGGGCTGGAGAATGAGCATGTTGGGGTCTGCAGGCCGTATGACCTGTTGCGACGACACAGCTCTGCCAATGACCACGAGAGCAGCCAGCTGGGGCTGGGTCCAGGAGTAAGTATGAGCCCCTCGAAAGCCACTGCTCTTGTAACCCCGTCAAGTGTGATTCTCATACGCACACTGGTCTGTGTTCAAGCTATCTTGTTCACTATCCGGCGTTGCCTACTACAATGCCTGTAACATGTCTGCTGTTCGACTGGCCACTAAACCCTCACTGTTTGATAGTCTCCACTCATCGCTCTACTCTGGCACCAAACTGACAAACTATAAGAAAAAATAAACACCACAAGGATTTGACTGGGAGTGTACTATAGTAACAAAGTTACTGATACTGGCAGCTGATATCAGCTGAGCATTTAAACACTGAGCATTGTTCTTTAAATACTGAAAAGTTAATCTTCACGACTCTTGTCACTTGCTAGCTGGGTACCCTTCGTCAAAACTAACTTCTGTGACCTTCTCATCCATGTGTGACATGAGGACAGCCTTCCATCTCGTAAAACTGCTGTGAAGGAAAGTTAATGCACATAAAGCTTTTAGAATCGTGCGTCAAGATCTCAGTTTCGGTTAACAAGCAGAGAACTGTACAGGAGAAATAAGAGAGAACCACCCAACACCTTATGTCAGCTGGTATGAAACACCATCAGCTGAGTGGTCCTCGTCTTTAAGCACATATAACCCATCTTGGAATAAATTCAAAGGCAGCACTTTGTTCTGCTCACTAGGTAAGTGATGAAAGACTGGTATAGCCAGTAAGGGCAACGCCCAGACGCTGACCACTGAAATGAAGGGCTGAGCAGAAAAGGCGTCAGTAAGGACAGGAACAGTAAGCAGACGAAGAAGCTGAATCAAGGAAAGGACGAACACTGGCTGTGGAGTGGGGCAAGCAACTCAGTTCCTGCCTGTCACCGGGGCTCAGGTGCAGCAGACAGTGGACAGGGGCGTGACTCTGTCCCGACAAAGCTGAACACAGGTGCTGGGCCAGCGGTGGGATGTGAGGTGGCTGACCCTGAAGCAGAAAGGTTACTAAATCCATCTGACTGGAGGGAAGGCACCCGAGTTCTCCGGAGGTGCAGGCTGTAAACAGCTCAAATCCAGGCTCAAATTCAAGATTTACAAAGGCCAGCAGGTCATGTTAGTAGACTCGTCTTTAAGCACATATAACCCATCTTGGAATAAATTCAAAGGCAGCACTTTGTTCTGCTCACTAGGTAAGTGATGAAAGACTGGTATAGCCGGTAAGGGCAACGCCCAGAGGCTGACCACTGAAATGAAGGGCTGAGCAGAAAAGGCGTCAGTAAGGACAGGAACAGTAAGCAGACGAAGAAGCTGAATCAAGGAAAGGATGAACACTGGCTGTGGAGTGGGGCAAGCAACTCAGTTCCTGCCTGTCACCGGGGCTCAGGTGCAGCAGACAGTGGACAGGGGCGTGACTGTCCCGATAAAGCTGAACACAGGTGCTGGGCCAGCAGTGGGATGTGAGGTGGCCGACCCTGAAGCAGAAAGGTTACTAAATCCATCTGACTGGAGTGAAGGCACCCGAGTTCTCCGGAGGTGCAGGCTGTAAACAGCTCAAATCCAGGCTCAAATTCAAGATTTACAAAGGCCAGCAGGTCATGTTAGTAGGAGAAGCGAGTAAGGAGTTCATACTAACATTTTCTGTTTTACACCCATGAACTCATTGCTGTGGTTTTCCCACGTGACAAAAAAGCAGCTGAGACAGAAAAGTTCTCCATCCTGTGTGGGTGGAGTGGCCTGTGAGTGACGCCGGGCAGGTCCCGCGGCGTCCAGGTACGCAGAGGTGTACGTCCAGGCTAACACGGGGGCCTGGTGACCAGCTGGCTCTGGGGGATGGGTAACAACCAGGGGCACACTTTCTCATGCAAATAGATGGGGGAAAAGGGAAACCGAGCAACTGTGATGTGGCGGCGGCGTTGGGGAACAACTGAGATATTTCACCTCCAGGTTACTGGCAGGTCTCGATGCCAGAGCCCCAGGCTGGGGAGGCGCTAAACACAGAGCACACATAGACAGCAGGGAAGACACAAGCTCGCACAGCGTTCCTGCCGTCGGCACTGACTGCCCTCGCCGTGGGGGCAGGACGCGTGTAGCTCGTCACCCGGCATGGTTCCTTCTCGCCAGCCCAGGATCTTGCGAAGGGAGCCTAACCCCTCAGAATCCAGTGGTGGTCCTCTCACGGCCCCAAACCCTGTCTGGTTACTAGAGCCCAAGCAAGGTACAGAGAAGACTTCTGGAAACAAAGAACCAGGCTTTATTTTGTTGTCTTTTTTTTTAAATACAGGTCTGGTATAATAGACATCTGTAGTCTTGCATTCAGCAGGGCCAACCCACAAAAATTAAAGTAGAAACTCAATGAGCGTGTACTCGCTCCAATCCTTGGGGCTGGCAGACTCCCACCCCCCAACAGACTCTGCACTGCCCACCCATGTCCCCTCCCTGCCAGGTGAGACGAGCAGAACACAACCCAACCCAAGGAGAAGCCCCAAGGGCCCTTCCATCAGCAGCGGGTGGGATGAACAAGATGCCAGGTTTACCTTGGGAGGGTGCAGAGGCCGAGGAGATCCAGCGAGTGCGGGACTGTGCGTGCATCCCTGGAGCCAGGCGGTGCCCGCAGAGCTCTCCACCAGGCCAGACCAGGGCATGCCGGCCGCCAGCAGTCCCCGAGGTCCGGCCGCGCCTGTCAGCACCCTTGAGACCAGCGAGGGGAGGCCCGTCCTCTGGCGGCGTTGAGGGTCCAGGGGAGCGTGCTCGAGGACAGCGTCTTCTGAGAGGAGCTCCCGACAGAAAGGGTCCCTGAGTTGGTGCAGAGGCCAGCGCGGCAGCCCCACCGACTGTCCCAGGGCACGCGGCTGGCCCCACTGTCCTTGGGGGCTAGTCTGCCTCCAGAAACCTCACCAAGGGCCTCCACATCATTTACAGTGGAAAAGTAAACCAGAAATAAGGCATCAGACATTTGATTTTTTTTATTTCCATATGCAATGTAATGTTTAGGCACGCTGCTTGGGATGCTATTTCTAAAAAAATCGTTGGCCATTTTTCAGAATATCCTTTTGGTTTTAAATACTGGTCAGGAAAAACAAATGATGTAAAAATACGTGAATAATTTTCTATTACAGAAATGAAAAACTGATTTGCATCTAAAAGTGCAAGAGGTGAAGTAATTTAACCCTTTCACCAGACGATATGGCAATATACAATATATTGCTTCAGCTGTTTGAGAAGGCTGTGATGTATTTTTATATTGACATAGAAAATTATAAATTACATTGAATTAGTATCCATAATCACTATATATGTACACAAACCAGTTCTAAAAAAAAATACACTGGTTTAGAATTTACGAATGAAACCCTCACAAGGTACAGTAAAACAATGAACATGCTGAGGTGCTGGACTCCGATTTCTAGTTTAAAAAGACTAGCCTGTAAAATGAACGCACTCTAATTCCATTAGCAGCACGAGCATTTTTCCACTGATTTGCCTAATGTGATTCAGGTATGTTAAATATGCAGATTGCTCTGAAATGTTCATTGGTGATGCTTGTTATTAACAAGGTAAATTTTGGTGAATGGGTTAAAAGGCAGATGAACAACCAAAACAAAACATAAAACAAAAAAAAACCCAAACCACAAGCCATGTACACTCCAAATATTCTAGTGTTTCACCTGTAAGGATAAACAGTTCAAGCAAACAAGACTTTAACAGAACATATGGCTTTACAATAACACAATTTATCAACTAAGTTGTAGCAATAAATACTTAATCTCTACCAATAGACTTACATTTTTTGATCCGTTTTTAAACAATACAGAAAACAGTTACCAATTAAAAACTGGTTATAAAAAGAACACCAAATATTTCTTATTCAAAATCACTTTTGTAAGTTAGAACAACCAAAATAACACTTAGAGGGCATTTCAATCCTACAATTCCTTGTCAACCTGGAAGAAAAATGAATTCAGAATTTTGTACAAGGTGAAAAATGTATGAAAACTGCCTAATACTTTGGTCACACTAATAATTGTCAAATAGTTATGTTTCAAATACAATAGATCTGTGTATTCACTTTTATAAAACTATTCTTACAGCCATTTTAACTATAGTATTACTACTATTATTACATGGGTGGCAAGATCTTATTTCACAGGCTACCCATTATTTAGAACAATACAATATAAACATACGCAAAAATTCTTGGTATTTGTCAATGTGCAACATTTGTACACTTCTGGGTTTCTCTGTACAGCGTCTTAGACTAGAATAGAAAGCTTGCTGGTCCTGATCCCTTGCAGTGAGTGCGGCGGCGGCGGCTCGGCGGGGCCCCACGCCGCCNTTCACTTGGAAAAGTAGGATTCTGCGACTCAGAGAAGAGGTGGGGCGGGAGAGGAAACAGACTGTAAAAGGACCAACTTTGAGAACACAGGAGTGCCCTGTAACACATGCTCCGATGAAGCTAAGGTCAGGGTAACACTGGTGTGTGTGTGTGTGTGTGTGTGTGTGTGTGTGTGTGTTTGATGACAGGGGACTGTGGACCTGTGTGTGTGTGTGTGTGTGTGTGTGTGTGTGTGTGTGTGTGTGTGATGACAGGGTACCCAGGACCTTCCTGCCAAAACCACAACTGGAGCATGTAAGACATTCTTCATGGTGCTTCCAAAATCTTACAAAGTAGACCCAGGAAAGGAGACAGCGCTGACAGCGGGCAGCACAAGGACTCCTGGCCCAGTGTCCGCTGCTTCAGCCCCTGCCAATCCCAACAGAGCTCCGTGAGGTCAGCTCCACACTCACGGCAGACTCGACCCACGCTTGAGGCTGTCTTCCTTACGCCACAGACACAGGGCCTGCCTTCACCACCCACGAGCTGTGTGATCTTCAGTAAACTTCTCAACCTCTCTCAGTTTATTTTTTCCCCCTGTAAAAGGGGGACAGTAAGTCCCCACAGATATTAGTAGGTCTACAATGTATGCAAAATGCCTATTTTGCACACTAATGGCAGATAACACACACACTCGATCAACACTGAAAGATAACATTTTGTGGCAACAGACATCAAGTCAACAGTGTACCTACAGCCTCGTATCTGGTAGATGGACCCCCAAGGGTAAGATTGCACATGAAGTCCCAAACAGCTGTCTCCATCTTCAGCACCGCTTCACATACGCTGCTCTCGGCATGCGGCAGGACGCATCAGCAGGCCTGCCTCTGTCCCTGTGGGCAGGCATCCGCCTCCCAGAGCGTCCCTTCCAGTCCTTCACCCAGCGGCATGCAGTCTTCACGCCCCCATGTTATCTGTGGGCCTATCACCAGGACCAAACCAGGGGCGGCCACGCTCCAATGTGTGATGCCCCCTCCCTCTCCTCCTGCTGGCTCTCCCCACCTGCTCCTCCACCACCGGAGGCCTGCAGGTTGGGAGATGTTTCCAGGCTCGGAGAAGAACACCGAGTTCTTTCCCCTGGGGCAGACACCCCTGCACTCCAGAGAGCCCAGTAACTGCTCCCACAGGCCTGCACCACTCACATCAGAGAAACCAGACTCGGGGGCCACGACTCCAGAGTAGGCAGGTTAGCTAGCTTGTAGGCTGTGCACAACATAAAGGAAATTTACAGGCAGACAGTGCGGAGATGATGATAACCGATTAGAAGTCAGATCTACGGAGGACCTCTGGAAAAACAAAGGAAAAACCCCAGGCAAAAAATGACTTACCTAGACCCTGAGCAGCACAGCTCTGGCTGGACCCCCAGAGCTAGAGGGTCCCTTTTTGGGGACTCTTTCTCCCAAATCCTCCACTAGAGCCAACAGGCACAAGTAGTTCTTATAACTGATTCAGTTTATACAAAGTCACTAATTACAAAAGCAAAGCCCTCACTCTAGCCGCAATTTCCAGGAGAAAGAAAAGCCGGGTCTGCTACGCGGTTTACAGACTTGTGAACTGAGAGCGCCCCGTGTTTGTGACCACTGGTTATACTGCCCCTAAAATGCCTGGATTTTAGGGGGTCAGGTGAGCAGAAAGCACTTCCCTGAAAAGGCTTCCTAAAGTTACTCTATTCCCTATGGAAGGAATATACAATCAAAAAAGGATACATTTTTGATTATATATAGGATATATTCAATATATATTGGATATATTCAATCAAAGAGGTTCCCTCTGGGCAGGGCTGAGCAGAGGTCTGCGTGGTCCAAGGCAAGCTCTGCAGCAGCAGGAGGCTGTCCTGGCTTGTGGGGCCTACGGTGGCCCTGGGGGGGGGCTGGGGCTTGGCCTGTCCTTCCAGACCACCGGCTCAGGCAACTAGAGAGAAAGTGTTACATTGCAAATCCCTTGACTCTGCAGGAAGGAGCTTCACACTTCACCTGGACAAGATACGTATTTTGCAAAAGTAAAAGCAGAGAGGGACTCACAGCAGAGCTGAGAACCCTGAGCTGACACCCAGGGAGCTGCACTCTGGGAAGCCACCTGGGTGTCACGTGGCCACGTCTGCACAAGGGGGCACAGGGGCCGCTTGTCTTGGTAACTGGGGGACTGCAGGCAAGAGGGGGCCCAATCCTGGAGGGCTCAGGATCAGCCCCAACTTGGTGCCCCTTCAAGAAAAACAGGAGGGGGTATGCCAGCACGAGAGACCCTGCCATCCCCAACAACTTCTCAGAGAACCAGGGACACCACCTCCGAGAAGCCGTTTTCAGCTTCTGGGCTAGGAGGTGAACTGCGACGTTTAAGTTCTCAGCTCGGTCACCTGGCTGCCACAGAGCTGAGGGACACTGCCATGCTAAGCAGTCACTGATCCCCTGAGGACAACTGTAATGACCCCTCACCCCCAGGCCCACGCCCCTCCTGGCTCCCAGGAGACAGAGCGGGGCAAGGCTGAGGCCAGCTGGCAGGAAGCAGGCACTCACCTCTGCTCTGGGCTGCTGCTGGGGGGCCGGGTGGCCACAGACTTGCCCTCCGCCGTCTCAGGGCTCTCCTCCACGTCTTTACAAGCAGCATCTTGAGAGGTAGACAGTTTCCCTTCCTCACTGCATAAAGAGGATGACAGGCAGCGTGAGAGGCCGAGGCGGCACCAGCGGGCAGAGGATGAGGACGCATGCGATGGCCTGAAGTCATGGTGTCCATGGAGCCAAGCTCGGGGCTGAGCATGCTTGGGGAGGGGGTGCAGGGGCACAGACACGCCGGGGAGGCCACGGAAGGGGAGGACCACACACGTGGGAGCCGAGAGAGGGACGATGTGATGCGGTTGGTGTCTGGTAAAGAACGGCCCCGTGGCACTGTACATACCGGTAGGATCTCAACACTCTGAGGCCAAGGGTGCAAAACAGAAAAAGAAATGGACAAGACTTTCAGAATACTCCTAAAATGAGGTATTTGGGGGAATACTATGTCCACGACTGCACATAAGCAAAACTGCAGGCTCGGAGAAGGTGTCAAATGAACCTGTTTGAAGGAATGAGTCTTCAGTTAAAGGTTTTGCACCCAGGGCCAAGCCCCCCATCGGCTTGCTGGCTGAGGTCCCGGAAGCAGGAGGCCATGCAGCTGAGCCAGGACCAGCTTCTCGAGCTGTCTCTGACAAGGCCTGAGAAAGACAAACCATGGCAGGAGAGAGCGGGAACAGTGGCCAGGACCGGGGCAAACCAAGCCTTAAGGGGTCAGAGGGCTTGGGGAAATGAAACACCAAAGGATGGTTTCCCCCGAGATGCTCCTGGCTCTCCATTCTCTGTGGACTGGAAACTTAAGACTCCGGGCTGTTCTGTCCGATTTTTTTTTGTGACACAATTCAAGACAGCGCTGGACAGACCCTGAGCGCAGCTGCAGGTCCCACTATCCTTAATGCTGGGTCCCAGCTTCCATCTGCTCGTGAGAAACCTCATTTTAGGATGACTTCTGAGTGGTTTTCAGATGGCTCAGGGCAATACATTTATGGGAAGGGACCCGAAGCCTAGCCCATTCCTCCTAATTCATCCCCACTCTCCACTCCCTGCCCAACGCAGCTATGCTGATGTATTCCATGCCTGTTACCTTCATTGTTGTAAAACGTACAGTCATTTTACCCATGTGGATTCTGAGACCAATGACTGGCCATGAATTGCACCCTCCCTGCACTCAGGACTGTCCTAGCACAGCTGGGAGCTCCATCCGCCCTGCTGACTGTAGCACAGCACCCCGAGGCGCCCACTTCCCATTCCACAGTGCCCCTCGCAGAGACCAGAGCCTCCATGCACAAAGCTGCAACGGCCGCCACTGCCTGCCTCTGCCCCAGGGGACTCCCTCGGGCACCTCTCAGGGCTTCACACCCAAGACTGGAAAACGCTGGCCATCTTTCCAACTACAAGGAAGCCCCCACTGCCCCCGAGAATGACTGCCCCGGTCAGCATCCACCATAAGCAAGGCCTTGGGGCTCCTGCAGCCCCACACCCACCAACACTCACGTTCCCCATCGTTCCCACTCCTGCTGGTCTAATATGTGTCTGAGTTCTCAGAATCTCTTCTGAGTTTTTCTTCTTTTTGCCACTTTGGGTTCCCTTGTCTATAAACTGCCTGTTGATATTTTTTGCCCATTTTCTGATCTGGGTTTTCATTCTTTTCCTTACTGGTTTGAATATTAAAAGCTAATTTCTGACTGATTTAGAACTGTAAACTTTTCCCCCTTAATTTACCATCTGCCTCTTAATTTTGTTTACAGTAATTTATCAACCAGAAATTCTTCACTTTGATATAACCCAATCCTATTCTTTGCATGAGGTTTATGCTTTTAAAGGCAGTTTGTTTTGTTTCAGAAAGAAGCCACTTTCTGCTCTCAGGTCAGAACACTGCGTTTTCTTCTAACCACTGTGAGACTTTGGCCACACCACTTAATTCCAGCACCGCATTTTCCCATCTGGAAAGTGGGATGATAACCATGGCGCTTTCAGTTTTAATCATATACAACTAAATTTTTTTCCCAAATGAGCCATCAAAAATGTCAAATGACTTCTTCATTCTATTAATATGCACTGAATTACACAGATTTTCTGATGTTGAATCACCTTTACAGTTCAGGGATGAACTAGTCACTATGAATATTTTTAGTATACTGTTAGGTTCAGTTAGCAAATATTTTACATAGGATTTTTGCATTTAGTTTGCCTATAAGTGACATAAGCTGATCATTTTCTGTAATTATCTTCATCTGGTTCTGGAATTAGGCTTTCATTGCTTCATAAAAAGATTCAGGCAGTTTTGGCACTTTTTTATTTTCTGTAACAACTTAGGAATTAACAGATCAACATGTAACATGCATGAAACAGCACTGAATCATCACCATCACTGACAAAAGCCTGACCCATTAGTCAGTCTGCTACTTTTTCCCTTTGCAAATAATGCCTTGTTTGTACCCTCTGTCAAATTTAAAAAGTTATTTATTGTCTCTTCCTTTGATTTCTATATCTTGTGTATTTCTTTGCTAGTTATGTTTCATTTTACTGTGTCTTTTAGAAGACTAGAAATCTTGTCTTTCATACCTATATGAGAACAGAGGTTTAACTTGTCCTCTCACATGGGTATTTACAATGCATCAGTCCTTTCTCTCTTCACTAACTTAAGTCACCTGACCACATCAGTGTATGGGTCTGCCTGTACAGCTCTGCGCATCATCTTAGTAACAGGGAGCCCTGACAGCTACCACAGTGAGGCCCCTCACCCTCCTCTTTACAGTGATCCTGCTCTTCACAGCTCTCCTCAGCCTTCTCTGAAAATTACAATCAGCGTCTCCCTTTCATAAAAAACTCCATTGGGATTTTGAGGAGAAATCCATTGAGAAGCAATGCCAAAGTTAGCAAACGTGCTGTGTGAAGTCACTTCAGTCATGTCTGACTCTTGGCGACCCTATGGACTGTGGCCCACTAGGATCCTCTTGTCCTTGAGAATCTCCAGGCAAGAACTGGAGTAGGTTGCCATGCCCTCCTCCAGGGGCCTTCTTGACCCAGGGATCGAACCCATACCTCTTATGTCTCCTGCATTGGCAGGCAGGTTCTTTACCACTAGTGCCACCTGGGAAGCCCTTTTGGCAAACATAGTAATTAGCAAACTATAAAAGGTCTTAATAACCTGGATAATCACGATGGTATAGTCACTCACCTCAAGCCAGACATCCTGGAGTATGAAGCCAACTAGGCCTTAGGAAACATTTTGACGAACAAAGCTGGTGGAGGTGATGGAATTCCAACTAAGCTGTTTCAAATTCTAAAAGATGATGCTGTGAAAGTGTTGCACTCAATACGCCAGCAAATTTGGAAAACTCAGCAGTGGCCACAGGACTGGAAAAGGTCAGTTTTCATTTTCATTCCACCCCAAAGAAGGCAATGCCAAAGAATGTTTAAACTACAATACAACTGCACTCGTTTCACATGCTTGCAAGGTAATCAGTACATGAACTGAGAACTTCCAGATGTATAAGATGGACTTAGAAAAGGCAGAGGAGCCAGAGATCAAATTGTCAACATTCACTGGATCACAGAGAAAGCAAGGGAATTCCAGAAAAACATCTACTTCTGCTTCATTGACTATGCTAAAGCCTTTGACTGTATGGATCACAACAAACTGTGGAAAATTCTTAAGGACATGGGAATACCAGATGACCTTACCTGTCTCCTAAAAAACCTGTATGTGGGTCAAGAAGCAACACTTAGAACCAGACATGGAACAACAGACTGGTTCCAAACTGGGAAAGGAGTATGTCAAGTCTATACACTGTTACCACCCTGTTTACTTAACTTCTATTCAGAGTACATCAAGTGAAATGCCAGGCTGGATAAATCACAAGCTGGAAGCAAGACTGCTGGGAGAAATAGAAACAACCTCAGATATGCAGATACCACCCTAATGGCAGAAAACAGAGAGGAACTTAAAGAGCCTCTCGATGAGGGTGAAACAGGAGTGAAAAAGCTGGCTTAAAACTCAACATTCAAAAAACTAAGATCATGGTATCCAGTCCCATCACTTCATGGTAAATAGAAGGGCAAAGAGTGGAAACAGTGACAAATTTTATTTTCCTGGGCTCCAAAATCACTGCAGATGGTGGCTGTAGCCATGAAATTAAAAGACGCTTGCTCCTTGGAAGGAAAGCTATGATAAACCTAGACAGTGTATTAAAAAGCAGAGACATCACTTTACCGGCAATGGTCCATATAGTCAAGGAAATGGTTTTATCAGTAGTCGTGTACAGATAAGCGAGTTGGACCATAATGAAGGCTGAGCACCAAAGAATAGATGCTTTTGAATTGTAGTGCTGGAGAAGACTCTTGAGAGGCCCTTAAACTTCAGGGAGATCAAACTGGTCAATCCTAAAGGAAAATCAACCCTTCACCGAAGGACTGATGCTGAAGCTCTAATACTTTGGCCAGGAAAAGCCACTGATGCTGGGAAAGACTGAGGGCAGGAAGAGAAAGGGGCAACAGAGGATGAGATGATTGGATAGCATCACCAACTTAATAGACAGGAGTTTGAGCAAACTCTGGGAAATTTTAGTGAAGAACAGAGAAGCCTGGTGCACTGTAGTCCCTGGGGTCCCTGACATGATTTAGCGACTAAACAACAAAGAAACATGGTATTGATATCGCTCCCTACGTATTTAGGTCTTTTGGTCTCAGTTACAGACAAGGTTTAACTTTTCATTTAAAGGGGGAAGGGGATCTTGTGCTAGCTTCTAAGATGCAATCGATTTGTGGGTGTATTTAGTAAACTTGCTAAACTTTACTAGCAATTCTAATGTTTACCTACAGATTCCACTGGAATTTTTCATATACAAAGTCATAACCTACAAATAACCTACAGTTCATGGGGTCACAAAGAGTCAGACACAACTGAGTTAACTGAACTAAACCTACAAATAAACAATAACCATTCTACTTCTTTTGAATTTGTATGCCTTTTACTTACTTTTATTTTATGCTGCATATGCTAAGACTAGCAGCACAGTGCTGATGAGAAGCAGTAACTGCAGGGCTCACTGTCTTGTCTTTGAAAATGAGTATTTCTTCAAAATAATGTTTCACTGTTAAGAATAGAGTCTGCTGTAGATTTTCAGTGGATACTTTTATCAGTAGCTATTTCTTATTCCTAGCTTGCTAAATAGTCACAAATAGCTTTAATTTTTATCAAATGTTTTTTTTACCTACTCAAAGTCCAAAAGGTTTCCAACCTTTTATCAGTGAATTACCATCAGTAATCTTTAAAATGCTATAATATTCTTACATTCATGAGATCTATCCTTGGTCATGAGTTAAACACACACCACTGGATTTGGTCTGCTAGCTTGTAGCTTTGAAGTATTCTATACACAGACCCACACATGGAATCAGCCTACAATACTTTCTTCTTTCATGCTTTGTTTTGTGTTGGCTTCACAAGTTGGGAAGCATTATTCTTGTGATATGAAAGGGTCTGTGTAAGATGGAGACCAGAGCTCTAAGCGCTGATTTAGCTGCAGTCTGTGGGTTTTGGTCGAACTTTTTTCACTACTTTTTCAGTTTTGCTTTTAATTTGCATTATGATTCCTTTTTTGACCCGTAAGTTTACAAGTGAGAGTAATTTCCAAATATGTTTTTGTAAGCTATCATTCTGTCACTGAATTCTGCTAGTTGCATTGTGTCTGGAGGAAATGATCTGTATAAAATCAAACTTGTGGTTTAGATGGCCCTAGCTTTGTTGCCTGTATCCAATGCAATTCCTGTTTCTAGAGGTATATCAGTTTTTTAAACTCATGTATTTTGAATCCATCAGTCTTCTCAACCTTTAGTCTTCAAAATACTATTAAAAGGGGAAGGGCACAGACACTGAGAGACCCAAACTCCATCTCTGTTAAGATTTAATAAATTTAATGGAAATATTAGAACGACGTCAAGCTAATGTCTGAACCCACACTGGAACCAAATTAAGGATGTTAGTATTTGTGGCTTCTCCTCCACCACCCTCCCGGCAACCTGAAGCTGCCAGTATGACCGAGCCTGGTTACCTTTTGAAGACCGCAGTTTCTGTCTTGGCATCTACCGTGAGGCTGAGAGTTTCCTTCATGCCGCCATTCATCACTGTCTCAGTTACCTTGTCTGTACTTTCCGCATCCTCCTCGCCATCGGAGCTGGCTTCCATGGCCACACTGCCCGGCGCTGAAAAGAACACATGGCCGGTGGTCATGTGCACCCACACTGACTGGGACCTCTGCCCCTCTGTGCAGACCCATCCACCCAGCGTCACCTCAGCTGCTTGGAGACAGAGAGACATGAGATGATGTGCCCGCTGGTGCCTCTTAATGATGCCCATGAGAGAGGCGCTGCATGGGGTCCCTGCAGCCCAGGACCAGCTAGACCCCCAGTCTCTCCCACTACCTGCATACCCAACTCCCCTCAAGACAACTGCCCTGCCCCTCCCTTCTCCAGCTCCCAGCACAGGGCAGAGTAGGCGGCCGTACGTTCTGCAGCTACAACCCAGCATTCAGCCAGCAATGCTCTCATTCACCCTGCTCCTCTGGCTTGTCCACACTCGCATCCTATTTTTTTCTGTTAAATAACCTTTTTGTGGTTCTCTGTGGATCATTTTTTTGTCCTACGAGAGGGAGTCATGTGGTAACCTGGTGATGAGCATCTGAATTCATATCTGGCCTCAGAGCCCAGGTCAAAGCACCCCATCTGGGCCTGAGTTTTCTTATGAACAAAACAGGAGGCGTTTGAACCCCCTTATAGAACTACTCAGGGATAAATTAGGTCATCTATATAGAATGTTTTAGAAGAACGACTTAGTAAGTGGCAAAACACTTATTTCTGGATTTATTTCCCTTGCCCCTTGGTTCTTGTACCCTACACATGTACCATCATTTTCTGAGAACTAACTTTTTGTCTTCTCCATGAACTACCAATCCCTCCTTCTCGCCCCTTCACCAACCTCCCACAGCCCTAATCATCAGGTTGGAAACAGTTCAGTGCCCATGCAAGTTACACCTGCCCATTCTGAGTAAGACAGCCACTGGACATTCTCAACCATTTCACCTGTTCATAAAGATGCAAAGAAATAAACAACTACACAGCCTGAAATGCAGCCAGACAGCACACTCCAAGGAATAAAAGCACCAGGTGCAGCCAGGCCTGAAGCACCCATGACAAGACAAGTGCTGGTCTCACTCCCCCTGGGTGTTGCAGGCTAAGACATCATCCTTTCTGGGTCTGTTTCTTTTCCTGTCCTGTCCTGAGGGGACTGAATGGCAACTTAGATACCTTACTACTTCTAGGATCAGCATGCTGTGGTTCTGGAATAAACACACAACTGCTTTTCACCCAAAGCCCTGAGGATATCAGACCCACATTTTCCTGGGTCCTTTGAACCCTTGAACTTTTTTTAGAAAGTTGCTTTGCGGACAAAGACAACTTTCCAGATATACGGAACTCAGCGTCACATTCCAGAGCGAACACCCACCGGGAAAGCAGTCCGCCAGCCCCAGACCAAACGCCCGCTGGGAGGGCAGCCCGCCAGCCCCGGACCAAACACCCGCTGGGAGGGCAGCCCGCCAGCCCCGGACCAAACAGCTGCTGGGAGGGCAGTCCGCCGGCCCCGGACCAAACACCGCTGGGAGGGCAGTCCGCCGCCCAGACCCACCTTCCGGCTGCACAGCCAGCGCAGCCACGCTGGGCGTCAGTGGGTCCATCGGCTCGGCGCTGGTTTCCATCTCCACTGGGGAGTTACTCCGTAAAGAGTCTTTCGTACTGTTAGAAAAGAGAAAATTCAGAGGTGAGCAGTGGGAGACGGCCCTCGGGATCATCATTCACAGAAAACCTTTGAACGCTAGTTCCAAATCCACTGTGGAGACATAGCTGGTTAGACTTCAAGAAACACAAACGTGAGTGTGGACGGCAGAGTGGAGTGGCGGATGAGCCGGGGTGGGAGATGTTCTGCTGGGTCAGCAGGGCAGAGCGTCTCAAGATGCCCCAGCCCCTCATGCTCACACAACCATCAGGCTCCCAAGGCTGGGACAGTAGTGCATACACTGTACACTAACAACTGTCTCTACAGCTCCATTTTAACAAAAATCCTATCATCTCTAGGCAAACCGCCCAGAGGGCCTGGCCCTATTGATGATGTTTAGTGAGACAACATGGCCCTGAACAAGGCTTGTAAAGGAAAGCAGCTGCTTCAGCAGCATTCTCAAGTAACCAGAAGAGCAGAGGTGGAAACCTGGCTGCCCTGCGCGGGAGGAGAACCAGCATCTCACTGTATTTTGGAGACATTTCCCATAAATCTCACTTCACCTCTGAATAACGGCTCACTATTATAAGAGTTGCTATAAAGCAATGTGGGTTTTAGTCTCCTCTCTGTCTACAATGGTAACTGCTAGCTAACATCAGGTTGTCTTCTAATCTTTGCCATTACAGTGACTATTTAAAAACATGTCTTGTTAGAACAGGGTAAAAAAGTTTTTCAAGTCGGGGGGTAGAAATCTCCACTCCATTTTTTCAGGAGACAAAATGAAACAGTAATCAAATCAAAATAAGTGTAAGGACACATGAAATCCATGGTTAATGCTCAATGCTGACAATATTATTCAGGAAAACTACAAAATGATCAGTTGCTACTGCTGAGAATAATGCAATTAACAAGACTGACAGTCACACCTGACACACCCCTAAATTTACAGTACTAGATTAGCTCCAAGCGGAATATACGTTCAACATTATCTATCAAATGCAAGGTACACGCTGCATTTCCGGATGTGCCCCTCGGGAACGCCCTGGCTCCATCTCGTCTGAAGCCTGTCCTGGCTCCACTGTTAGCGCTCTGCTCCTTGCCTCCCTGGGCCATCTCCTCAGCCCACTTACCATCCACTCCTCCTCCCAGTTCACCCTGGAGGAAAGGAGGGAGGAAGGGGGTGGTTTTTCCTTGTAACTCAGAGCTGTGTCTACATTCCCCCCGCCCCCCCCCGGGCCCCCATTGAGTTTTCAATCTTGTTTAAGGCACTATATTCAACTGGGAACATGCTTCACGCCCGGTTCTCCGGTGGGAAGGCTTGGAGAGCCGCACATGCGCTCACCTCAAGGAAGACGTGAACTCTGAGAAAGAAGCCCAGCCTGTCTCCTTTGTCGGCATAGGCTCCTCCGTGCTCCAGACGTCAGACCCCACGGAGTCTAAGGGAGCACCATGCGTCGTCTCCATGGGGACATCAAAGTTGGCTGACCAGTTGGGTGCTAAAAAGAGGGGAGGAATTCCACTTTGAGAATGCTTCAGTAATTTAATGTAACACAAGTATTTAAGTAAAACAAAAGACTGCAGGTGTTGGGCAAAAGGTATTCTGACAAACCAGTGGTGGAAGTGGAAAAGGTACGACCACGTGGAGGGCCATTCGATAACGTCTACTATAAAACTGTGTTTCCTTTGATCCCTCAGTAACTCCCCTTTCTGTGAATTTTTTTTCAAACAGCGATTATCGCACAAGAATACAAACACATAAAACAATATACTGATGTTAATTTCTTGATTTTGACAAATATACCAAAGTTACATGAATACTAGGAGGAAGATGGGTGAAGGGTATACAGCCACTTCCTGACAATCTCTGCACCTTTTCTGTAAATCCAAAATTAGTATAAAATAAATAGTTTTTTAAAAGCATGTTAGTACTCAGTCACAGTAAGCTGGGGACAACCTCAAGGCTTCCCGCCCCATCCCCCTCCACACACTCACAGCCACCCTGCAGTCTATAACCTGAGCGCACAGCAGCGAGCTTCCTGTGACACAATGAGGAATACAGACTTAGTCTCTGCCCACCCCACTGCCATCTCTGAAGTGACAAAGGTTTTCTGTATCTCATAAGAGACTGGGAGCTCCTGGAGACCCTCAGGATGGGGACTGGGGGAGTGGGGCAACCAAGTGTTTACAGGGTTTGAACTTTGGGCCCTTTCCCACCACCCCTCCGCCAACCTTCTAGAAGGGTAAGGGGCTAGAGGTCAAGTTAATCACTAATAACCAAAGATTTCACCAATCATGCCCACTCAGCAAGGTCCCCATGAACACCCAAGCTGCAGGGCTTCAGGGCTTCTGGACTGGAGAGACTCCACTGGGGACCCAACCTCCTGCCCATGGGACCCTGAGGACCCATCCTGTTCATTTGCAGCCTTTAATATATCCTTTGTAATCAACTGGTAATGGTAGGTAAAGGGTTTTTCTGAATTCTGTGAGCAGTTCTACCAAATAATCAAACCCAAAGAGGTCACAGGAACTCCCAGTTTACAGCCAGCTGGTCAGAAGTATCAGTGGGGGTGGGGATGGGCGGCCAGCTCGTGGGGTAAGTGAGCCCTAACCTGTGGGTCTGACTCAGACGGTCAGTGCCTCGGCTGAGCTGTGTGGGAGACTCACACACTTGGTGTCAGGAGTGAAGTTCTGAGAGCAGAGTTCCTGCAGGCACGGGAGCGTGCTCAGAGACGGGGGTGGCAGGACCAAGGGGCACTGGGCCCTGTCTGTGCTGCGGTTGGGTGCTGCCCGTCTCTGTCTGTTTAAATGCCACCCCCTGGGGTGTGTCCCTTCAGACGAAATCAGGTCTGCTTGCTCTCGGCACACACCAGGCTGTTCCTTCACAGTACCCATGCTGAATGCCCAAATCCTTGCTACAGACGAGCTGGCAGTGGGGACCACCGCTCTTTATCAGGGATGCTTTCTGTAACAATTTGGAGGCTCCAGGCTGTAAGGAAGGAATGCTAGGCTACGGGATCCGCAAGCTACTTGGGGATGCTCCTCAAGACAAACAACCAAGAAGGACCTATGTATAACAGAAGTGCTCCCACTTACAGACAGACCTTTCTGGGACTCCAGGCAACTTACTCAGCTCCCCCTGCGCTAGGTTTCCTCATTTGTTCACTTCAGATAAAACCATCTACTTAGTCCTGAGGGTTAAATGAGGGCCACATCTAGCAGGTACTGAAGGAGGGCTGTTTCTGAGTTTCCTACCCTGATTTGTGTACCCACGCGGCAGGGCTCTGTGGGCTCAGAAGGAACAGGGCCTTAACGTCTGAACACCTCACCTGCAACCTCAGAAAGTCAAGAAAGTGAAAGTGTTAGTCGCTCAGTCATGTCTGACTCTCTGTGACCCCACAGACTGTAACCCACCAAGCTCCTCCGTCCATGGGATTCTCCAGGCAAGAATACTGGAACTTGTTGCCATTTCCTTCTCCAGGGGATCTTCCCGACCCAGGAATTGAACCCGGGTCTCCTGAATTGCAGGCAGATTCTTTACCATCTGAGCCTCCAGGGAAGGTGACAGGTATTTCTGCCTGCCCACCATATGCAAAGTTCTGGATTCACTCCATCCAAATAAACTAGGCTACACAGAAATGACTATTGTTAGTCATTTCCTATTATTATCATCCCAGGATAGTCTTTCCCAGACTAGCTCCCCAGAATTACCCTAACATTAGAAACTCTTCTCAAGAGTCAAGAAAACCTCTGGAAAAAGCCACAGAGATTGGGTGGACGGCGGAAGCTCTCAAGTCAGAGGCTGAGGCAGCTCAGAGTCCTGGAGGGGGGCACTCCCCACCCCTGGTCCCACCCCAACCTCAGCTGACCTGCCGGTGCAAAGAAAGCTTTCCCCAGCAGCAAGGTCAGGAGGGCTGAGACCTGTGAGTAAACACCACACTCCCGCCCCTCATCTCTCCCTGTCCCCACACCCAGCTCCAGAGACACCATGACAGTGGGAGTGAGTCACACCAAGTGTATGGTCTCTCTGCAAGTCACCTGTCACCCACTCAGCAATCTCACAGATCCATAGACTCCAAAATACCATTCAGCCTTAAGAAAGAGTAATAAAATCCTGCTACACACTTGAACATGGATGAACCTGGAGGGCACCATGCTAAGGGAAGTAAACCAGTCACAAAAAACCAAAACACTCCATGATTCCACTTAGGATGAGGTCCCCAGAGGAGTCCAATTCAGAGACAGGAGGTAGAACGGTGGTCGCCAGGGGCTGGGGAAAGGGGAACGGCGAGTGCTGTTCATGGGTATAGCTTCAGCTTTGCAAGGTGAGAAAGTTCCAGAGGCTCCACTGCACAAAAGCATGAATACACAATACTACTGAACCACACACATGCGTGTGCGTACGCGCACAGACATACACACACACACACACACACACACACACACACACGCAAGCCCAAAGCTCAGGGCCTGCGGCCTCTCTTCGCCCCTCTGCCACCTGCCCTGCTCCTGATGAGCCCCGTCATTTCTCACGTGTCACACTGAGTGTCGCTGCTGGTCTTCCCGTCCCCAAGCACACTTTCTAATTCAGCCTGCACACTGCTACCAAGAGTAATCATGTCGAAACAGATCAAATAACGGGATTCTTAGTAAAATCCTCAGAAAGAGGATTACAACCTTCAAAATAAAATTCTCCTTCTGGCTTCTGGCCTCATCTCCTCCATCCCACCCTTTTCCTGAGCTACATTCACGAGCGGCGGGTCTCTGTGCCTTCCTAGGAGCTGTTTTCCTGCAAGCGGACTCACCCCTAGTTGCCCTCACGACACACCCCGTCCTCTGGGAGGGCTCTGCAGAGGCCTAGGGGAGCGGGGCCCCCGGCCTCCCCACACTGGACTGCATGTCTCTCCATCTGCTCAGAAACTCCGAGGCCCTGGAGGCCGTGCCTGAGCCCCAGCTCCTGGCACACAGCAGGAACCTGACACAGGCCGGCTGGTGTGAACAGCGTCACGCCCTCCTGAAGGTGGTGAGCCGGGAAGGAGAGAGAGGACAGAGGGCGTGGACCGCACGGGGTCTGCTGGATGCCTGCCGAGTTCCGAGGTCACGAAGAGTTGAACCTGACCCCCAGAGCCGGATTTCGGCCTCTAGAACCGAGGCATAAAACCCTCCCAGGCAACAGGAAGCACTGTTGGCCTGGAGGAAAGCCCCGGTATCAACCTACATGGCTACTTTATGTGAGAATTTGTCTGAAATTTTAGAAGTTAACAGTATTTTTAAAAGGCCAGCCAACGTAAGTCTTCTTATGTAAAACATAAATAAGCATTTAGCTGGGCAACTTTTAGGATGACAGGATTCATAAACTGTGAAGACCCTGTTTAAACCTGCTCCAACTATAGGGTGTTTCCTGTGGTTCAGGTGCACTCCTGATTCTACAGTCTTCCCTCATCTCCCCAGAGGCTACGGTCTCTCCCCTTCTGATACGGTACCCAGTCTCTGCAGCTGGAGGACGGACCGACGGCTGTGTTGCTGTCCTCTAACCAGATGCAGGCAGAGGGCTTCCAAACCATAAAGAGGTGTGAATGGTTCCTTCCCTCCAGCCTGGTCCCTGAGACGCACACCTTCAAGGGAACTCAAATGACAGCGTGTGCCTCCACTTAACCATCCTTCAGAGGCCACCTGGGTTCTGCAGGCGACCTCCACACACAGCGCTGACAGAGAAGCTGGCCACTTACGTTCATTCAAGTCTACCTCCATTTTGTCCTCCGTGTTGGCACCACTGGATTCAAACAAGTCTTGTTTTGCTCCATCTTCTTCCTCAGAGTCTGTGCTTTCCTCACTGTCTGTACTCCCCGAGCTAGGGAAAAAGTCCAAAATATGACTGCTGCATATCGGCCACCAGCTAACTCCAAAGAGTTCAGAAGACATCCCACCCCAAATCCATGCTGAGCCTCACCCGGGCCCCACGCGCCTGGCGCTGTCAGACTCAGCCCGCCCCGGGTCGCCAGCTGCGACCGCCAGGCTGTGCTTGCAGACTCCTCGGAACCCTTGCCGCTGCCTGATGTGGGGGTGCCCCCTGGTGGGGAGAGTCCGCACCTCCCTCGCGACCAGGGACGCTGAGCTGCTCTCACCTGCTCACCTCCTTTGCTCAAGCGTCTTTTCACATCTTTAGCCTATTTTAAAAACTGGGTTGTCTTTTCTCATTACTATAGAGTTTTGAGAGTTCTTCATATGCTCTACATGTAAGTCCTTTATGAGATATATGATTTGTAAATTTTGTCTCTTAATGTAGATGCCTTGTCCTTGTGTTAACATTGTCTTTTGAAGAATATTAGTGTTCAATTTTGATAAAGTTTAACTTACCAAAATTTTTTTTCATGTATAGTGCTGCTTCTGGTGTTGTATCTCAGAGATCTTTGCCTCACCCAAGGTCACAAAGATTTTCCAGTATTAAAGTTTTCTAATTTTGTGTTTGATTCAGACGCAAGATCCACTTTTGGTTACTATGTATACATAGCAAGGGTACAGACCACAGTCATTTTCCCACATATGATGTCCAACTACTCCAGCTCTGTTTCTTCAGATGACCACCCTCTCTGCACCGATCTGCCTCTGCACCTCCACCATCAATCAGACATCTAGGTATGTGTGTAGGCCTATTTATGGGCTCTCTATTCTGTCCCCTGATCTACCTGTCTTAGTTTCTGTACCTTGAAGTCAGGCAGTGTTAATATTGTTCTTTATGAAAGCTGTTTTGGCTATTCTAGGCCCTTTGCATCTTCATATAAATTTAAAAATCAGCTTATCAACAGCTACCAAAAAACCTGCTATGATTTTGTTTGGAACAGCAATGATTCTCAATCAATCCAGATCTGGGGAGAGTTGGTATCTTAATAATATTGTCTTCCAAATCATAAAACACTTAGCAAGCCTTGATTTCTCTCAGCTGTTCTTAGTGTATGAGCCTTGCACATCTTCTGTCAGATTTATCTGTACACATCTAATATTTTGATGCTATTTTGAATAGTACTATTTAGTAATTTTAATTCCAACTGTTGGCTGCAGTATGTAGAAAAACAATTACATTGATCCAAGATGTACAATCTTGCTAAACCCACTGAACTGTTCTAGTAGTCTTTTTGTAGATCCCAACAAACTTTCTACATAGACAGTCATGTTGTCTATGAATAATGGTAATTTTTACCTTTCCTTTCCAATCAGATACCATTTATTTCCTTTTCTTGACTCACTGCACTGGCTAGCATCTCTAGCACAATACGGAAAAGTAGGGGTTAAGAACAGATATCCTCATATTGTTCCTGATTTTGGGAGGAAATCATTTAGTCTTTCACCACTAAGTGTGATGTCAACTGTTAGGTTTACTGCACAAGCCTTAAACAAACTGAAGACATTCCCTTGTCTCCAGTTTGCTGAGCAGCTCTACCAGAAGTAGATGCTGAATTTAGCCACATGCCTACTGACTTTCAAATGTTAAACCAAGTCTGCACTGCTGGAATAAATCTTGCATGGTCATGATGCACCAATGCTGCCGCTATTTGCTAAGATTTTTAAAGAAGCTTTTGTACCTGTGCTCTTTTCACACCATGTAATGCAATGCCAGCTTCTGGTATCAAGTTACAATTTTCTGCAAACTTCTGTACAAATGGCTGTGATTTCTTCCTGAAACATTTGTTAGAATTCACAAAGAAATGTCCTCTGGCCCTTGGTTCTTTGTGCGTGTATGTGAGAAGGTTTATACTAAAAATTTAACTTCGTCAGCAGACACAGGACTATCTGGGTTATCTTTTTCTCTTTTTGCTTGAGGTTTCGTAGTTTGTGTCTTTCAAAGACCATCTAAGCTGTCAGATTTATTGGCAGAGTTGCTCCTAATATTCCTTATTATCCTATTAATATCCATAAAATCTATAGTGATGTCACCTGTCCTGTTCCTGATATTAATAATTTGTATCTTTTTTCCTTGATCCTTCTGTCTAGGGGGTATATCAATTTTATTAATCTTCTTAAAGAACAACTTTTAATTATGATTCATCAATTACAATGATTTTCTCTACTGTTTTTCTGTTTCATATTTCTGGCCACTTCTTATGGTGGAAATTGAGGTCACTGATTTGTTTCTTCTTTTTTACTGTAAGCAGGTAGTGCTAAAAGTGATCCTTTAAGTACATTTCACTTGCAACCGCCACTTCCTGATAAATACTGAGTTCTTATTGTCTTTCAATTCAAAATACTGTGTAAATTTCCCCTTTTTAAACTCATGTGTTATTTAGTTTCCACATATTTAGAGATTTTCTAGAGATCTGCCATTGATTTCTAATTTAATTCCATTGGGTCAGAGAGCATATTTTATGTCACTTGAAATCTTTTTACTGACTCTTGCTTTGTGGCCCAAAGATGGTCACTAAGTATTTCAGGTACACTTGAAAAGAACTCACACTCTTCTGTGGAAAGCTTTAAAAATCCCCAGAAGGTCAAGCTGGTTGATAGTATTATGTAAGTGTTCTATACTTTTATGGCCTATTATTTTTATTAATTACTAGGGGAGGAGTGTTGAAACATCTCATTGTAACTGTGGAATCTGTCTACTTTTGTACTTCTATCAGTTTTTGCTCTGTGTATTCTGAAACCCTGTTGTTAGGTATGTAGATATTGACGGAACTGGCATTATGCTCTCCTAAAAACCACTTTATGACCTTTTAATCTTTTCCTTTGAAATCTACTTTAATATTAATAAAGATTCCTCTACCTTTTAACCTGTTTAAATCTTTTTTATTTTAAAATTTAAGTTCTTAAATAATTTAAACCATTTCCCATAGGTAGCATTAAGTCAGGCCTTTTTTTTTTTTTCCCTTATCCAATCTGAAAGCTCTGCATTTCATTTAGTGTTTTGGGATAGAATTTTGAAAATTGATCCCAATGGGTATCATATGACATGACTCTTGTCTCCTCAAGTAAAATTAATTTTTAGAAACAACTTTCCCCTCCCCAGGGAAATTTTCAGATTTTTATAAGAAACAACATGTAACTCAGCTGCTGCTCTTATTACTAGTCAGGGAACCTCCTCAAGGCAACATATGATGGCATTCCTCAGCATCATTTCCCCATCACAAGAGGCTGTGTCCCATAGTTCATGAACTATGTCAGAACACTTGGAGCACTTTCAAACAGGTCACCCTGACTCGTTCACACTGCAGACAAATGAGGTGGTACCAACTCACACTGGTTAACAAGGGCCTTTCTGATCACGACAAAGCACTGATCTCTGGGTCAAATGTGTATGTTTGGAGAGGCAAACGACACTTATTTTGCGCATGGGACACTTACTACTCTAATAAGCTGTCGCTCACCTTGATCGTCTTTGGGATTCTGGTGTAAATGCAATATGCTTTTCCTCCCAAATATCTTCCTCATCAGAGCCACCATCATCAAACTGTTGTATTCTTTCCTTACAACATGCTTCAAACAAGGCAATATTTCCCTAAATGAGAGAGGAAAAAAATTTTTTAATTATTTTCTGCAAAAATTACTAATGTAAATCATACTCTTCCATGTCCTTCGGGGAGGAGGGGGTGCAGCGGGAAATGCCTATCACCTATACCAAAATAAAATATAAGCGTGTAAAGTCAGCTTCTATGTAAGTAACAACAAAAAGATCCCCCCAAGGACTGGCTTCAAAACTAGTATACGGGAAACTGAGACTGTCTACAGATAGGCTCACTTCATATAGTGAGAGCAGCGTTCTCGTTCAAGAGCCTCCTTGGGCCACCCGCCTAGCACGCATCCCCAGAACCTACTCTAAGCAACCTGAACTTCCTCTGCTTTTAGAAGGCCACCTAAGCAGTGAGGAGTGTCAACATCCAATCAGTTAGTCTCCATCTTATCACAACAGCGAATAAACCAGCAGTCTCTCATGCCAAGTGACATAAAATCAACACTGTACCCATTCAAATGACACCAACCCCATGTCCAACTGTAGATGTGATTGACTTGGCCCTCATTTGGCTCAAGTTTCTCTCCTAGTGACATTCAGCAGATTCAAAAGGAAGCAGGTTGGAGTCAAACTGCTATCTTTGAAGCCAAATGTCTACACTGGCTTCATTAGCTCTGTCACATCTTAAACGGGGGTAGCAAATTTACATGCCTATGGGGCCAGGCAGGTCACATGAGTGGCTGAAGTCACCGCCATCTAAGACAAAGGCTCCTGGAGTCGGGAGCCCCAGCACACACAGCACCCATCCCCACCGATCGACCTCTCATATGCCTATGCCTCGCTACTCACAATCGGCATGAATACTTACACTTTCATTTGTATTGAGAGTAAAGTTGATGTCTGACACCCGATCAAAAGAAACACTGTAAACAAAAGATAAGTGCAATAGTTAATTATCTATAGACTCAGAAACAGTATTCATGAAATTATCCAAATGTACAGTATGAGAAAAGCCTCCATTAGTAAAACCAAATGATCTGCGTTAAGTGACCCCTCCTCCCTTGGTGTGAGGAGTCTACACAGAACAGGAGGCCTTGAAGCCTTCCCATAAACCATGTTTAGCAGCCATGGTGGAAAGCATGGCTCTGTGGGCCATGCCTACATAACCCCAAAAAGGTTATCTGCAGATAAGAATCAGGTTGAAATATGAAAAAAGGGTCACAGACGCTGTCAGACCCTGTGCTTTCTCCAGATGCAAATACATACATAAAATACAGACACCCTTGAAGTCTTACACTATAGTATGGCATAGATGGGACAAAAATAGGGATTAAAAGAATTCCTAGCCTATTAAGTGTGTAATTTTTGAGTAGGTAGGGCTATCTTAAAATCCTTAAAGGATCTGTTTGAATCAAACATCATTCCAAGTATCCCATACAAATTCTAAAGAGACTGGATTCCAAACCAGCAAGTCTTTAACAAATGGGCCCAGACAGGCAGGTGCTGAGACACCACGTGTTGGGAGGTGGGGGGTGGGGGTTGCAGGTTCTGCTGTGAGTGCTCCCGGGGTGCAGACAAGCCCCACGTGTAAAGTCCTTGCTCTTCTGGGGCTGAAATGAGCCGATCCTTAGGGCAGCTGACAGCCTCTACCGCTGCTCTACTGACTGACAGTGCGGCCTCCAGGGCTCCCCTGGGGGCTCAGACAGTAAAGCCTCTGCCTACAAGGCGGGAGACCCAAGTTCAATCCCTGGGTCGGGAAGATCCTCTGGAGAAGGAAATGGCAACCCACTCCAGTACTCTTTCCTGGAAAATCCCATGGACGGAGAAGCCTGGTAGGCTACAGTCCATGGGGTCGCAAAGAGTCAGACACGACTAAGCGACTAAACTTAAACTTTCCAGGCCCCATGCCGACACGGCATAGTGTTTGGCACGATCAGAGGGTGTGGAAAGTCTTTCAGCTTCTCACTTGCTGTAAACTGCAACTTATGACAAGCAACAGCCTCCACTGGCTACAGTTTAACCAACACCCCTGACCACCTATTGCTGGGGAGGAAACTGAGAGAAGCTGGGTGTTGAGGACCCTGCTCAGGCGCTCCCATGAGAGAGAAGGCTGCTCAGAGAGCTGCAACACACCTCGAGTAAACACTTGGGTTATAAGCACAGTGCTTGCCAAGGTCAGGGGCTAGACCACCTGCTTTCCTCTCTGCAGACGGCTCCCATGGCAGCTGCTCCTGGGTGCTACGCATCTCTGGGCTCCTCTCCCCCTGACTGCAGGACGCTGTGAACTGACTGCCTGGCCCTCGGGGGCAGGGAGCCCAACCCCAACTCCACCTTCCAGTTAGTCACTCAGAGAAGAGAACGCGGGCAGGGTGGAGCCTGCTCAACCACAGCGTGGCTCCGTCCACTGTGCTGTGAAAAGACCAGACCTGCTCAGGCCACTGAACCGACAGAGGGATTAACCACTGCAGACACTGCGACCCAGCACCAAACCCTAAAAGGGAGGACGACTTGAGTTCCTAAGTCTAACAAAAATAAACCTCTGTGGAGGACGCCAAGCCCAAGGACAGGCTCTCCTTATGGGAGTCACGTTCTATTCCTTTAGTTGTCTGGGTGACTCAGGCTAATGGGCTGGACCTGAAGGAACACCTGGAGGGCAGGTTCCTCCCAACCCACAAACACAAGGATTCCAAGAACTCAGAAGAATCATAAACTCTTACAGAGGGCAGGACTGCAGGACACAGGTTGTGCAAACAGAAAGGTATACTCACTTGCCGATGTCATCTTGATCTGCAAACTTCTCATCGTTGAAGCCAAACTGGTCAATAAAATTGGACGTCATTTGTTGCATCTGATAATCAGAAAAGGCCTGGCAACCCCAGGACCAGTGACAGTGATACAATGATTCTAATGACATTCCACATACTATATGCCCATTTATTTTCCAGAAACCACCTTATTTATATATAGCCATAGGGCTTAAAAAGTTGGTGTGTTCTTCTTTAAAAAAAAAAACAAACAACAACAAATAATTTTAAACACAATTTACCCCAAAAAAGAAATGTTTAGAATTTTGTCCACAAATTATTCTAATGCACATGCCATGTAAGAAGTGTTAAATGATCACTGTCCTCTATTCTGAATTGTCTTGAGAGAGAGGTTTGGGTCTGGTTCAAAAAAGTGATCAAGTGACATGTGACAGTCTGAAATTATAAGGTGTATCAGCCACCTCTGAACACAACCAACCTTAAAACCCAACAAGCATAACCACCCACCCTCCCTTTCTGCATCTCCCCACCCCCGTCCACTACAGCAACATGGCAACAGAGGAAAAATGACTAGTGATCACAATCCCAATTCTACCACACCATCTCCAGGGACATTTCATTTTCTTAAATAAAGTGATTTAAGTCTCAGAGGCTAAGAAGAGTACAAAGTAACTACTAGCCTACCTACTTTAGAGAGAGGACAGAAAGTTTTAACACTGATTGGAAATCACTCTGGAAAACCTACACCACCGAGAGATCCACGGAGGGGTCGGTTCTGTTTGCTACACCATCTCTACAGAGCACCAGGGTTCTCAGGTGGAGAAGGGGGGACGCTACCATGGACTCCACAGAAATGCTGCTGTTCTCCCTGTGAACAGCAGCAGCCAGGGGGGAGGCGAAGTCAGCAAATGTGCTCCAGGCCCGCTCAGTCAGGGTCAAAGAGACGGAGACAGGCAAGGGCCCTCCTCACTCTGCCGCAAGCACCCATGCGGAGACGAGCCATGTGCGTGTGTGCTGCCCGTGGACAGAGCTGCCCGTGGACTGTGCGGGTGTTCAAGCAACAGCTGTGGCTGGACTAAAGGCACTGGCCCTGAGGCCTACCAGGCAGGCCACCAAGCTCTCCTGCGTTCTCCTCTGAGCAGGGCCCACAGACTCCACCCTGCAGAAATGCCTCTGCCGTTAATTCCTGATGATTCATTATGGTGGCAGGGAATTATGGCATGGATAATCCAAATTGTGGATAATTAAAAAATAAACCTTATATTTGGCTTTGGAAGGCATCTTTTCCTTAGATCTAAAACAGTGCTGCATATATAGTTTACTGAGCACCTAAAAGCTCGCTCGCGTTTCTCTAACTTGATACCCACGGCTCCCTGCTCACTATCACACCTTCAGGCTGCCCCTTTCCCTGCCCGCAGAGACGACACTACCTGAGCGCCTGAGGGCTGGGGCTGGCCCCCAGGTGTGCACGAGCTAAGGCGCACGAAGGCTCTGGGAGTCTGGGTGAGAGCAGAGGGCAAGGACAAGTCCCAAGAGGCTGGGTGAGTTCTGGATGTACGAACATAAAGTGTTATGAGCAGAGAGAAACCAATCCGTCTCGACTGCTTTATCTCTTATAAGGTAGGACACATGGCTGGTGCCGTCAAAGGTGCAATAAACAATCAGAGTCACTCTTCAGGGCAGGCGGTGTAAACCGGGCTCTGAGTTCACTGCGGAGAATGTGGCCACACAGAGGAAACAGTGCTTTCCAACTGTTTCGGTTCCTTTCTTTTCTTTTTCCTTTAAAAGTTTTGTACTTCTACAAATAATACTGTACATCTTTTGGGTATAAAAAGGAAGAAATATTCCCCAAAGTGCACCTTTAAATGCTTCACAACAGAATGTAAATACGTGTATTATAAAAAACATGTGTGAATGCATACATGTGTGAACATACAGCTGTACACACAGATACACATAAATATGCACACACATATTTGCACTGTCTGTCTGTCTATCCACCTAAGGAGGAAAACAGACACATAGTCTGTCACAGGAAGCCTCCACACAGTAACACAGAGGACATGGGAAAGGAGCGAGCCGCAGTCCTCAGTAGTTCTGGGTCCACTGTCACTTCTAGGGAGACACTACCGGCAAAGAACCTAAAAGCTGTCAAGGCTCACTAAACCCACAGCCGTGAAGACTGTTACTGTATTCTTCCTAAAGCTAAGTGCTTTGGACTCTGAGAAATTCAAGTCTGGAAAGCCCCATATGGTTGTGCAATTATTAAAACTTTTAATTGCATTTAAAAGGGGGGAAAAAGTCCCCTACGTCTCAAAACTGTCACCCTGGTCAAAGCCAGGGGCTGTTCTGGTCCTTTATTAAGTCAATCTCTTGAGGGGTTAGGGGTCCCAGCTGGGCAGCGGGAGTGGCGTCCACCTGAGACAGCTGGCCCCAATGCTCCAGACACCACATGAGGAGACCTCCTCCCCGTCCCCAAGAGAGGCGGCTGCGGGAGGAGGAAGAGCAGACAGCAGAGTGAGGAAGCCAGGAGGAGCACCCTGGTCACGCGTGGCCCCGCGGGTTTGTTCAGTGACCCGCCCTGAGCTCCGTGTGTGCGAGCGTCACCAGGCTTGGCTTCAGATGTGAGTGAGAGCTCCAAAACACACAGAAACTATCTGGTTATAATGGAGACCAGCGTGAATATCTTGGATTAACCTAGAAGTGAGTTCCTGAATTCAGGGGAAAAATGCTTCAGAGTATGTTTCGTATTTTCAAAATGATTAAAAACTGGTCTATAATTTCAACATGCAAAAAAAGTTTACTGGAAGCCTGTCAATCAAAAAAGAATAATTATTCTCCCTACTTTTGAGGGTTACATAACGTGGATAAAATCCACAGAACAGGAGCCTGGTGTCACTGAGGCATTTTGGTGACTGAGATCGGTTCATACACACTTCATCAGTCAGAAAATTCTCCCCAGAAAACCTACGACCCTGGAACCAGATCTCGAGAGAGAGGTAGGGAATTCACTTTCCAGACACCTGAACGTCATCAGCTTGATTAAACTAGCTGCCGCAAACTCCGAGTTCATTAACTTATTTGCAAGTATTTGCAAAAAAAGGGTGTTCTCTTTCTTAAAAGCTATTCACCAGAATCAGAATCACCTTGAAAACGCACAATGCACACCATTCAGCTTCTCTGTAGAGGCAGAACGATGTGTAATTGGGATTCAGAGCAGGTTGAGGGGACCAATTTGATACTGTCCAGGTGCTCCAGGGTCGGGGAAGGATTGCTCAAAGGCACGAGGGCTCACAGGAAGCCAGCCGGGCCCCTGGGGTGGCTAGTGGGGCCACACCGCAGACCAACGTGCGGGCAGACCAGGAGACCCACCGGCTGGACAGCTCCCCTGCGGGCTGGCTGCACCCTGCCCCTCACCTCGGGAAGCTAGTCTCCAGGGGCAGTGCCAAGAATCAAGAGAAGCCAAAATGCTACCTCAGACCCATCCTGAAAATGTACACATTAAAATGCCTTAGTCCTAAAATCAGACGACTGCTTAGTTCAGCCTGTACCGGGGTGTGTCAGTCTACTTGGACACCAAAAGGCAGCGCCTGCAGAGTCATCAGAAACTTCATCCTGGCCCTGGTAAAAGGGGCTTCAGGATTGGGAAAAACATTCAGTGCCAGGGAAGGTAGCCACACTAATTCCACTGCCATACCAAATCACCTGACAGGCAAGACTTGGTCCTGACCAAGGGCAGCTTCTCCATATGAGGAGAAGCCCTTCCAAAAGGGCTTCCAGGTTGAGCTCCCAAACCTGATACCCAGAAGGGACAGTGAATTCACTCCTCACCTCCACAGGAACTACCAAGGGAGGATATATCAGTATGCCCGTTTTTATATCCTGTTTTTGCCCCCACAAAGATTACCAGCACCTGATAAATGAAGAGGAATTTGGGGACAGGATGAATCTGGGGATGCTACAGAATCTGAAGATATCAGAAACATATAAGCCATTTGGTTCAGGGACACTGGGTAAGTTATTTTCACTGACATTAAACAAGTCTTCTTAGTCTTCTCCACAAATCCCTACTGCAGGAATCTCTGCATAATGAGCATGTCCGAGACGCACGCTTACTGAACTATCCAGATCATTCAAATCTCCTGGAAAGTTACCTGACTCATCATCATTATCATATCTAAAGAAACATGCCCTGGAAATATAATCAACGTACACCTTTCTATCACATACCCAACACTTCCTCTTTTAAACACTTTGACCTAACTAGTAAGTAGCCCCCAAACAAACCTTAATGCATGTCTGACTCCAAAGCTGATTCATAAAAGACAACTAAACTAAGCATTTAAAATAAAAACAAAAAACAAAACTTTTAGGCATGACTCACTTGCTGCAAAGAAGAATCCTGTGAGAAACCCGTTTCTTTAAAGTCAATTTCATCATCACTGGATGAATGAATATGGCAGGTTGTAACCTATATGCATAAAAATGTAAAAAACTATTTAAGAGAGAAAAATTTTGGACATTTGTATCAGCATTTTTACGGAAAAAAATCACATTTAGTTTTTCTCTCAAATGTGTAACAACAGTATGAACAAAAACAAGCTGTAAAATCCACCCAGTAATTCCAGGGAGCACTTCACTCACTCAGGAGGCCAGCGCCTAGCCTTCTGCGGCGCACCTGCAGCCACTTTGCCCATATTAACCGCACGCAAACCACGTGAGAGACGAGCTGCTCCACGTGTGACTGTGATCATTATCTCCAGTGAGAAGTTTACAAAGGGAAGGAGGAAGCAATGCCTCAGATAAAATACAAATTCCGGTTAACTACTGCAAGCCAGAAAGGGAAAACTGCAATCCCAGGGATCACTAATGAGCCACTAAAAACCTCAGATTTAAAAACAACCATTTCATTTTGAATTCTGGCACTTCTTGCCCATTCTAAGAGAAGCACTGCTCATAAATATGACTTAAGTCAATAGTCCCCTGCTCATTACAAGACCCCAGACCTTCTGCCCCTTAACATGTAATCCCTGCCCTCACAACTTAAAACTAACTCACATTAAATAAGCAAAAGCATAAACAGGAACTGCTCACCAATTCACAGTAAGTGATTTTCATTAATTAATTAATTCATTCATAAATGTATTAACAAATAGAAATGACTAAGTACCACACTAATAATGGTAATTGCTACAGAGCAAGTAATAAATGTGAACAGTCTGCAAAATTCTAAGAACAGGCACTGTACTTCTTAGGTAACTTACACTGTATTTTCTGAGTTACTTGTCCTATAGCAGTGCTCCAGGCAGACAGCTCTGTCCTCAGGGGAGAAACAGCAGCCGTTAACTGCCAGCCCTTGCAGCTGTGCCCAGAAGCCTAGAGCCATAGACACTGGCCTGGTTTGCTCTGTGATGTTCCAACACTGATTTAAGAAGCCCAAAGTGGAATCACAGGGTCTGTATGTGGTGTGGCTTATGAAATTCTGAGTAAATCACTGTCTGAATAAAACTAATCTCATCTCTTTATATCTGGACATCTTTGAGGAAGAGACTAAGTCCAAGTGAATAACCCAGAGTTTCCAACTAACTCCCTCTCCATCCTCCCTAAAGTGCAGACAGAACATTCACATGAATTTTGCACTTGACCTGATGAAATCAAAGCAGAATTTGTGATCTGCCTGCCTGAATCAACCACTGCTTTAGCAAGTAGATGGGAAAAGTAAGTGTGTGTGTGTGTGTGTGTGTGTGTGTGCACGCGCGCGCATGCCAGAGTGCAGATGGGAGGGTGGAATACTGCTTGGTCACGGCAGCTGGCACCTTACAGGTCAAGTGGCTCTGCTGTAGTGGATTTAGGAGCTTCAAGCCACGTGGCTGGCAAGTCAGTACAAGAATCACACTAAGCCCATGCTGGGGGGTGGGGCTCAAAAACAGAAGACAAACCAAAGAGAAAGCTGGGAGAACTGGACAGAGCCAAAAAGCAGTCCACCACTCCTGGTCTGTCTTGCTGTTTCAAGTTCAATAAGAATACAATGTATCCTTATTCATACTTTTTGCTACAAAATAAGAATTTATCAGCTCATTAATGAAAACAGGAAACTAGAGCCTTGTTTTCAAACTTGAGCAACTACTGTGTGCCAGACACTGTGACCTTTCCATCTTCTCCTTAACTAGTATCCTCAAAGCAATTCAAGTAATCTTTTCCTCCAGAAAGAAACTACTGTTTTAGAAAGTTATTACTAATAACAGCACAAAGCAAGTGCACCTTCTCAATTATTCTGTTGACAGATATGGTGATTCTGATTCTACCTACAGGGTAATGCAGTCTGAAATCATTATTAATAAAATGAACTAAAAGATGCAATTTAACTTGTTAATCTTAGTCCCTGATCTAAACTTTCAGAACACAACGCTTTTGAAGCATCTTCAGCTCAATAAATGCCTCCCTCATTTCTCTTCTTCCAGATGAAGTCTTGTCATCTTGTTTCTTCTGTCCCACCCACACCTGTTCACCCTTACTGTCAAAGCAGAACCTGAAACCCCATCACTTCTCTTCAAGGCTATCGTCACCTCCCTGGGGGGGTTTCTCTCTCATCTAGATGCACACTGCATCCAGCAGTCTCTCGGCTGCACCTCCAGTGCCACTGGAGTCGGTTCTCAGGCCAGCAGCCTGATGATGATCCTTTAAATCATGACAGATTTAACACCACTGGCATTAAATCGTGGCACTTTTCATTCAGTTACAAACCCAGCGGCTTTTCATCTCTCTAAGATCACAACCCCGGGAGCGTGCCTTGAAGCTGCGAGAGATCTCTGCCACACTCTTTCTGACACAAACATGCGGGCGCCGTACCAGCCTCCGCACCCGCTCTTCCATCCCCTCTCGCCTCAGCCTCTACACCAATATTCTCAAGGACATTTCCCTAGACCGCTTAATTTTAAATGCACGTCTGCCCAAAACACTCTAACTCCCTTCCCCTCGTTTACCCTCCCCCTTTGGTTATCCACCTCCACTGAGGCAGGGATTTTTGCCAATCTTGTCTAGTGCACCATCCACAGTGTCCAGCACACAGTATCCACTCAAAGAGTTAATGAATTAAGGAACACCAATAAATCACTAAATGAGAATACAGAATCATAACTTTTAAGAAAGTAACAAGGAGATAAGAACACTCTTGCCAAGCAAGACATATTCTAAGCAAACTAGACTTTTTTTTCAATAAGCAAAAATGCTTTTGTTTTGTGCAAAAAGAGTAAACTATACTCTTGATACTGCAGTGAAAGGAGAAAAAAAGCCTTTGAGATGTTACCTTCTTTTATGATAAAATTTCAGATTTATTAACTGTTGTGAAAAGAAAAGGCAAGTAAGAGTTTTCTTCATCTTGGCTGATTAGGTTGCTACGCAGTCTTAAGTATGACCTGACTGGTAACATCTGAGTGAAAAGTAGAAGCCAAAGACTCTTCTCCTTGCTCCACGCAGTCCCACTGTGGACCCTCAGGACCTACATGACCCCGGGCTGGTTAGAAACACAAACCCTCAGAGGTTCCGCCTCAAACTATGGGGCCTGCAAACAATTCATATGTGCGCTCTGTATTAAAAACAACCTCCTGTGTTAAACAACCTCCATAAACTATCTCACAAACTACATTTTAAAAAACACACCCTTGCCCCTGGAGAGGAAGGCAAAGAATGAAACAAACTCAGTTCTCCAAACTCAGCACAAAAACATTTCCTACCGTTTTCTAAATTTACCTCAATCCCTACCAATTTTTACAGTTTGCAGGCTTAGTCAAAACAGTGTGGTCTCTGGATGTAATTAAAATACCAAGTTTTACTGATAATAAGCTCCCAACACAAAAACATAAAGAGTGTATGAATCTCTTGTGCATTTACTTTGGCAATACGGGGTCACAAGGCTGAAGTACTTCAAAGAGCTCAGCAAGAAGGCAATTCTATATCCCTACTGGGACACAGTCTGAAACATTCTGGGCAGAAAATAAAGAGTTTGGAAGCTACAGTTCAAGTCTCCTTGGTGGCCTGGGATTAGTGTAAAAGGATCCTCAAAAACTTGGAACCCCCATATCCCTAAAAATACAGGGTTGGCCATAACACTTATGAATAAACTCTTTGGTCAACCCAATACTACAAAGCAGAATTCCCCACTGAAGGACTCAAGACTAACTGGAGGTGGTCTGTTAGTCTTGGGTGTTTGAAACCAAAGCCGGAGGTCCTGAGAGAGCAACACAGAGTCCCAGAAACAAGATCACAGAGTGGGGCCAAGCAGACACAGGGCGTGAGCAATGTTGACAGGGCTCGTTACTGACCACTTCCGCTACATAAGGCGACCTCCCCTTCTTTTGTTTCACTGTGGATTATCTGCATAGACCACGTGTTATGGCAGAAAGTGCAACAGGCAAAGGAGAACCAGGCTTCAGTCGGCATGACAGGTAGAGCCCAGGGTAACTCTTCCTGCCACACAGGCGTAAATGTCCTTCTAGATGGAAATGTCTGTCTAAATGTACCTGACCCAAAGGAGCCACAGACAACATTACACACAGTCGCACACTAGATGACCGGCAGCACAGGGCAAAGCAGCTGAGTGTCACCTGACCTGCAATGTAGCCCTTCCTTACATACTGACAAGAGAAATGTACCTGAATTACCGAAGTTTTTTAAAATCCTGATAACAAGTTTAACTGACATTTTTTACTTCTTCCTTTGAAGTTAATCAAAGGGCAAATTTTAACAAATTTTCCCAAATAAGATTAGAATTAATACTCCTAACTATTTCTCTATAAATAAGAAATAAGTCAAAACTCCCTTTCAAGGAGATCACATTGCCTGCATTCTTAACAAGGACTCAATAAGAGGACCTCTAAATTAAGAGGTTCAGTTTAACAGCATGAGAACAACTTTACTCTGCAGTAACACCCTGATCATCCAGAATTTTAACCCATTTGACCGGGGGAAAAAAACAATCTACAGTGGGTAATACATTCATTAAAACCTACTTGACCCTTCTTTGATAGCACAGGAATGTCAAAGTGAATGTCACCTCCTCTGCTGGGCTGCAGCACCCTGAGACACAGGGGCCACTAAACCTGTTTTAATTACATGGCCCCACACAGCTCCCTTTCTACACTTACCGCTTCATAATTCTTTCAGCTTCTAGTACCTAATAATTCTCTCACTATATCCACCTAACAAGCCACCAATCTGTCAAGAGTCTGTTCAAAGACAAGCAAAGCTGTGAGATGATCTACAGAGTGGGAGGCGACAGGCCCTTGGGGCCATGTGACACAGGGTGACCCGGGGACTGCTCTGTAGCACCCCTACCCCCCCCCACTTCTAAATTCTGTTCTGAGCAGATAAGGCTGCCAGGTACTTGCCTGCCTAATAATCGAGGGAGTTACTGTGTATTAGAAATTCAAGATTGCAGCTGATCAATTTCAAAAACAGAATGAAGTGTCTGACACATCTACTTCCATATACAATCAAGATTACCACCTCAGTCATCAGGTGCCATGTGCCTGCAAAAGGAAACGCTTTTCCTTCTCTTCAAAACCAAACCAATACTCACCGTAAAACTTAACGTCTTAACGAAAACACAGACTACATTCCAAAGTCCAATATAATTTTTAGAAGTATTATCAATGCCATTGTTCCCTGGCTCAAAGTGCCAATCTGCTAAGGCTGGGGTTCCAAAGTCATCTGCAGAACTTCCCCCAGCTGGGAATGACTAATGCGGGTAAACTCAACTACGCAGAAGTAGAAACCAGTCACAGAAATAGCTCAGGTCTCTAACCACCCGGGATTATCCAGGCATAAGGCAACAGACCCAAGCGTGAGAGGACAGCTGGGGCTGTGCTGAGGAGCCCGGGGAGCCGGTGCCGAGGGAGGTGGACGCGGCGTGGCAGGAAGCGGGGTCAGGGGGCTGCGTGTCCCCAGCCAGAGCACTGCGGACGTAACCTCTTTCACTGGTAAGAAACACGAACGTACCCCTTGGTTTACCATCACCAGGACAAGTGGAAGAAAGCTGCCTCACGTCTTTCTGAATAAACGGGCAAAGCCCCAGAGCACCGAAATCACAGAAATGTAATCTTGTAGAACCTACTAGATCTACCGTGTTCCTCTTGTTAGTTTCTCCTAAGGAGCTCGTGCAGAACGTCTCCCATCGCTCCCTGACTTCGTCTGGAAGATCTTCAGAGGGGAGAAAAGGAAAAAAGCATGATCACTACAGCGACTGACACACAGACAAACAGGGAGCACGAGAGGGCGCCACCATGTGGTCATCAGAGGTGGGCAAGCCCTGCAGGCTGGGCGCCGGGCTCTGGGAGGCCCAGGGTTATCGAGGCGTGCTCAATCTGGACCCTGAGCACTTTCAGGAACCCCCCCACCCCGCCCCCATGGTCTATGCTTGATGCTAAGAGCCCTAACCAGTTATCTGAATCTAACAACTTTTTTAGGATCTTTTGGTAAAAACTTAACCTGGAAAATATTAATGTAAGTGTTTCCACGGAACTCCTTATAAAGGTGTGGGTAACAGCGGTCCTGCTCCATAGCCACGTGCGTTCAGGAAACACTGCACACACTGACTCCTGCACACTTTCTTGAGAAATTCTGAGGCATTTAGCCCATGACTGCCCCATGGAACCCAGTGTGGGTTCTCAAATTCCTCAAAGATAACGTTTTCTAAATACTTGTGTCATAGGACAACAAACGGATAATGTGCAATAGTGAAATCTATTCTCTACAGAAAATTTAAAGAAAAGGAGACACAAATAGTTTCATGAGAAAAAGAAACTACAGCTGCAATCTGGGAGCCCTCACTAGACTGAAGTTGTCATCTGACAACTCTGGCTTAAATACATGTGCATACACCCTCACACACACATCTGGGAAGCAACTACCATAAAACTAAGACTGCTCTAAAAGAACACACACACACATGACATGGCCATTTCACATGCACGGCCAAGAACATACAGTGTGATGACATGGCTAATCTCTCTCTCAAGAAGCAAAATTCCAGGTGGGCAAGCCCCAGTTCTCTCCATCACTGGGCCACAATCGTGCTTTTAGTGCACATTCAATAGGTAACAGCCTCCTGAACACAAACATTCTTAAGAGAGGCGGAGGAAAGACTGGGAACTGATGTTCAGCAAGCTAACAACTGAACAAATGCTGCACCACAGAGGTTAAGACATTTTGCCTTTGGAGTGAGTCACAGGACTAGTAATCCCACTGGAGCACACGGGGTTCTCAATGCTCTCATCCAGGAGGAGGTGGACTCAAGGCTGAGGAGCCAGTGTAAAAGGCATCCATACAACTTTTTCAAGTAACCTTGGGCTGATTACATTCAAATGCTAGTACAGAGTCTTCTGGATATTGGCTAATAGCCCTTATTTTAGTAATAGAGGCAGAAAAAGATGCTGATAAGTATCTTAATATGCTAGTGAAAGGAACTCAAATCCACAGGCCATGTGGGGGCCTTCACGAAAAAAGAAAAAGCAAGAGTAACTAACTGTAGCTCACAAGGTCCACTGTCAGCCTACAAGTACTTCAAGCTAAAGGAGCGACCTGTGAGCCATGCCCTTAGAGAATGAAAGGGGGTGACTCCAGTTACCGGCCAAGCCTGCCGAAACTTAGTCAAAGGACTGCAGAACTAAGAACAGAGATACAGCAAAGAAGTATATTGTTCAAACACATTTTCAAGAGTCTCATTCAAATCTCCAGATACTGTGGACGTAGAAGGAAACTCCTCAGACAGCTTTTTAAAAAGCTAGGAATCCTTCCACTCTGCCCTTAAATTCTCCCTTCCATCCGACAGAAACGACGCTGCGACCCCGAGCCCGTTACCTTTGATGAGCCGCTGCACTGCGGCGCTGTTGGGGCCCTTCTCTGTGCTGTGCACGATGCAGTTGGCTATCCGCGTCAGGTGGCCCATGTAGCCGTGCCGTCGACCTCCCTCAGCCCTGCCAGGGGGCAAAGGACAACTGTTCAGACTCCTGACAGGGTGGGGTGAGGAGGCAGCTGGGAACTACCGTGGAGTTAAGCAACCATTCTAAACTCCGAGCCACCAAGGACAAGAACAGACAGGAGAGGAGGCTGAGGAGTCTCTTCAGACTCGAGGGGGTAGTGAAATGTGGCAGAAACAGTCTACTCAAAAAACTGTACTGTAGCCTCACGAGACGGGACAGATTTTGTTCAACTATTCAAACCAACCATCTTCAGTCACATATTATCTTTAAAAACAAAAACCCAAACATTCACTGGTGCCTGATGATTCTGTGACTGTGACTTTCCTTTCTTTCTATAAAACTAAACAGACTGTAAAGAACTGAGGTGAGAATTCTACTGGTTGATTTTGCTAAGACACTATATTAAATTTCAATCATAAATCAAATACCAGAGAAAGTTATCTACTAATGGCATTTCTTGAGTTAAAATGTGAGCTGATTCAATCGAGGACTTGGCCAAGAGCAGAGCTAATCAACTTGCATTTTGGCCCATACACTGCTGGGGACACAGACATGCATGTTACTCCTCACCCCTTCCCTCACCAGAGTCTAATCTTCACAACTGACCCATCTTTACACTTAAGACTTCTCACATCACTGTGACCTCTCTACCTGAATATTTAAAAAGTGTCAATATTTTAACTTCTATGAAACAGAAGACTTTTGAATGCAGACAGGAGGGAACAAACTGAAACGATCTTTACTTAAAAGGAGACTCTTTCAGGAGCCACTTTAAAAAAGAAAAAAATCACATAATGTTTACAGGCCTGCCTCAAAAATAAAAGTATCTGCTACTAAGCTTAGAGGTTCCGGGGACACCTACAGGTCGGAAGGCACAGGGCGGACTTCAGCTGAGCTGCTAGGAGCCTCTCTTGTTGTTCAGTCGCTCAGTCATGTCCAGCTCTTTGCGACTTCTTTCAGTTTCACAATAAGATTCACAATAAGAACCTGAATGTTCATTTGGGCCAAATTCTTACAAACTCTGCTGTATTCCCTCAAACCTCCACAAGTGAAAACAAACACCCATCTCCAAGCTTTCTGGCCCAAGGCTCCCAATGTTCTTTACGCTTCCTGTTCAAGGAAACCTTAGGAAAGCTCTTTCAGGACCCCCCAAGAAAGAAGAAATAATCTTAGCCAGGATTTCAGAGGTTGGAGCTCACGGGGAGCAGAGCATTGGTGAGAGGAGGAGGCAGAGAAAGGGAGTCAAGGAAGGCGAAGATGGGCCAGAGACGTCAGTCTGGCCACAGAAGGGCTCTACTCAGAGGAGAGGGCCTGAGCCCCAGCCACACTCAACTACAAGCCATCTTTCTCCACACACAATTAAAGCAAAGCCCTATCGGTTTTTAGTAAGTGATTTTTAGAAGAAATGTATACCCCAAAATGTATGCTTCTATAAATCTGACTTAAAAGCAAACACAAGAATGCCCTGAGAGTGTTTCCCAAACACACCCCCCTGCTGCATAATCTATGGGAAGGCATAAAAGCTCCCTGGGCATTAGAGAGGAATGCTCACCCCAAACAACACTGCTATGGGAAACTCTGTGTAACAAAGCCACTCATAGGCAGCAACAAATACCTCAACTAATTGAGCCGATCAGCTAACGGAAATTTTCTAAAAAAGGAAATACTAGGCAATTTTACCCTCCTCTAGCTCCAGGCACAAAGTGACTCTAGGAGCTAATTATCATCACGGAGGACTTGCCTTTGTCATTCTCTTCCTTCTCCTTCCCATCATTCTCAGAAAAACCACCATTCACAAAGAAACAAGAAGTTCCAAAGGCAGCAACAGAGGAGGGGCGCACTCCCAACCCCTGGTTTCCCCTCAAGACAGGCAGAAAGACAGGGAGATCTAAAAGTAAGTTATTAGAAAAATACCTGTTAACAATCAAATGCTCTGGAAGTCCCAAGAGAGCCATTTGTAACTAACTGTAAAGTGGCCTACACCATGTAACTATATTCATTGTTCCCTGTCTAGAGAAAGAGTGCACATTTTCTTCCAATTAAAAATCAGGGCTTCTCTGGAGGCTCAGTGGTGAGGCGTCTGCCTGCCAACACAGGAGACACAGGTTTGCTCCCTGGTCCAGGGAGACCCCACGTGTCGCAGAGTGGCAACTGCTAAGCCTGTGATCTGGAGTCCAGGAGCCACAACTACTGAAACCTGAGTGCCTAGAGCCTGTGCTCTGGACAAGAAAAGCCACAGCTTTAAGAAGCCCATGTGCTGGAGCTGGGGGGAGGACCCAACATGCCACAACGAGTGCAAAAGAGCCTGAGCAGCAGCCAAAACCCAGCACAGCCAAATGTAAATAAGTAATAATCAAACTGAAGTCCTGTCAGAAAACAAAATACTTACTGTTTCTTCTCATTCATTTCCCAGGCATCAAGTATTCGTTCTATTAACTGACATTTTTGAAAGAGCTGAATAAAAAGGAATGTTTCAGGTTAAAATTGACATAAATGTCAAAGTGTCAAAATTTTAAAGTGAAACAGAACTCTAGTTAAACAGAAAAGTGATACACACCACTTTATACATACAACCCAGCAAGCTAAATACAGCTGTGAGTTATCGGCTAAATCACATGCAATGTGATCAAGTAACTGCTACCAGTGAGCAGCTGACCTAAAGCAAAGCCAGGTTTTATTCTGAAATGGAATCATGCCCCAGCAAAACTTTAGTTCACAATACCACAGCAATACTTGTACTCTTCAAATATGAGCAACACTTACTTCTACATGAACTAACATATTGCATTCTTATTAAAAACAGGGGTGGCTGGCCAAATCCCGCAGGCCAGTGACCAGAGCTGTGGGCTGCATTATCAGAATGTGCAAAGCCAGTCTCGTTCAAATGTCATTTGTCTTCCCCATCTACTTAGTCACTCCAGGCTAGCCTGGCCCATCTTCAAGGTTTGGGGGTAACACAGTATGAGCAAGAGAATGTCCACAGTCACAGAACTACAGAGCAAGAAGACTCCTGAAGACGGACTCAATAAAATCACCACCTCATATGTAACAAAAGACAACAGGTCCCCGAAAGAGGTGTGCTGACTCTGCAGAGACTCACCTCCCCCCACTTCCAGTCACAGATTCAGCACCAGAAACCAAAACTCAGGCAAGCCAAATAACTGTTCAAATGTTATTTAAATTTGTATTGCTTTTTAATTTCCGAAAGGTTTCTAATCTTCAAATCTATTGAGTTTACTGAAACTTTTTTAAAAAGTTCATCTAATGGTGAACTGCCTAGGATATGATTTATAGACTCACTAGTTAAAAGTACAATCAAATTAAGACAGTTAAATCCTTAAGATTCTGAAATCTCACCTCCCACCCTTAAACTTCAATTCACTTCATAACTTAAGTAGAAAACTACTATAACCAGGAGTGGCCGAAAAAAAGACACCAAGTAAACTTACATGTTTTAATAATAAGTTGTCACCAGTGGAATCTTGATCAGTAATTGTGCTATTTTCTGTGTTTTCAAAAGGACTCGCAAGAATCAGTGCAATACAAATTTCCACTTGTGTATGTAAAAAGTTGTTCCATGTGTATTTGAAGAACATGTCCTAAAAAAAAAAAGTAATGCTTTCTTTTACTGTCACCTCAATCTTTCAGTCACTATTTCAATACATTCACCGAATAATCAATTAATAAATGATGTGCTCCTGGTACAATAAAACAAATTAAAAGGAGTACATTATTTTTAAAGGCAGTTTAAAATGCCTTCATAGACTAAATAACATTATATTTGCTCATTCAACATGTCGGAATTTGCAAGGAACCTAACAGAAACCAACAATAAGTGCATAAAGACAATAATAAATTTCTCAGAGAAAATCTGTTTTCACAGTGACTAATACAGATATTAAGTTTAGTAAATTTCCAATGATTTTCAAAGAAATTTATGAGAATTTCATTTTGATTCAACAAACTATTCATTGATGACTCCTGAGCAGTGCCCAGTGCTAGCTGCAAAATAACGGTCTCTAACGTCAAGGTGCTCACACTTTAGAAAATAACCACTCAAGCACTCAGACTCATAGAGCTACCAGCAGATGGAGCAGAGCAAGGCGTATGGCTGGAGGTGACATGTGGGACTCCTAGGGAAGCAAGGGCTTTCCAGGTTACCTGGAAAAGGTAAAGGTAGAGGAAAAGAAGACAGCTCCTAAAAGCACAAAATGCACAACTGCAGAATGTTTTCAGGATATCTCTGAGTCTGGTTATCCAATCTCAAATGAAGAAGTAATGATTAATGATCCATTTAAAAGTTTTATCAAATTTAGCACTCAAAAGTGGCTCTAATATTAACAGTAGAATGAATTAACAATAGCAGTACACTTATTACTAGTAATTGATGACTTCAAGGAGACTCCCAAAGACAGGCGTGGGAAGTTACATTCCTGTCAGAGAGTGAGGCAGAGACTCTGTCCCCAGGGGGCAAGGGCTGTGCTGCGGAGAAAAGTGTAATCCTGTAACGTCTCCTCTTTCTCCGAAGTGGCCATGCTCTCCGTGCCCTTTACTGATGTGTCACTTAACACATCAGGCTGAAATACAACTAAAGTATCTCGGTGATGCTACAAAGCATAATGGTATGGCTGATAGAACACGCATGGGTGTGAATGTGGACGTGAATTCCAATCTTTGCTCCAGCACTTACTAGCCGTGGAATGTACCCCCTCTCTGGGCATGATCTGAAAAAAACAGTTTATACCCATGATCAAACGAGAATGTATATGAAGTGCCCACTTGATGCCTCCCATGTGAAGAGCAAACACCAGGCCTTCCTCTGAAAAACACGCCAGATCCCCCCGGGGCACAGTGTGACCACCCCGGGAACCATCCATGCTGTGTGAGACAGGTCAGAGGAGGCAGGGGCCCCGGGCCAGGCCTGTGGCGTCTAAGCACGGGCCTCGGAGCCAGGGACCTCGGGGATTCGGGAAGTCCAGATAATTCCTGGGCTCTTCCTTTTCCCTTCCATTCCTTTCTGCTTCCACAGAAGCAGACTAAATGAAAAGACAGACTCAAAGACAGTGTTAATACCCTCTGCAGATCTCCCTCAGTGGAAAATAGACAAAAGTCTGTCCCCTGAAGAGAAGCATTATGAAGGGAAAAAGTGCTGCAGGCAGCAGCCATCTATGGCGCACACAATCCCCCAAAGAAACTGACTACAGTCACTCTGTCCTCCACGGGAGACTGAGCTTCGGGAGGGAAATGTCTGCGTCTAACTGTCCTGGCAATTCTCTATAACACAGACAGATCTTCATGCACAGCAACAATAAATCACTACCGAGAAATTAAAAGCATTCAAAACTGATGATAACCTCAAGGGGAAGACTGCACTCAGACCAAGAAGTCACTGACACATCCTGTGAGTTCATGAGATTCTACAATCAGTGATCTTACTTACAAAAGCTCAAAGGCAAATGAAGACATCTTTCGGGGACATCTTACCAGTATGACCCCAATGCTATTCAGCTCCATGAGGTCCCCGTTGATGCTGCTGGTATTTGTCTGGAGGAGGCTGGATACCAACCTAACCACACTGAGCCGGGTGTTCCCCACGGGGGGGTCCAGCACGCCCCACGTAGTCTTCATCACACTTTTCTGAGAAAGAAAAAGCTTTCTGATTAGATTCAGTTCAGGACTCCCCCAGCAGTCCAGTGCTGAAGAACCCACCTGCCAACACAGGGGAACAGGTTTGACCCCTGGTCCAAGAAGGTCACACATGTCACGGGGCAACTGAGCCCAGGCGCCCTGGAGTCCATGCCCCGCCAACAAGAAAAGCCATCTCAGGGAGAAGTGCTTGCGCTGCAACCAGACGGCAGCCCCTGCTCGCCACAGCGAGAGCTGCAGGCAGCAACGGAGAGCCAGCACAACCACAAACAGATAAATAACTTAAAAACCAGCTCAACAAACAAATGATGCAGGAGTATGTACTAAGACACAACACTAAATTAAGCCGGCGAACAAGTTGGCCTAAATTCTACACCTGCAGGGAAATCCAAAACTCCTACTGATATCTTTAAGATATGATGAAATAAATATAAGAGAAAAAAATAGGTAATTTCCCTAGACTACGTATTTTGTAAGAAATCAAGTATCCCCCTGCCTTCAACATTCTAGAAAGCAGAAAGTTCGGCAAGTTCATGAAGAAAAAGTGCAATATTCCAAACCTGACCAGAAACCTGAGAAGCTAAGAAAAGTGACAAGTGGCTTTGGACACAGTCCTCAATCTTTGCCAAATCTGGGATAGAATGCAAACTCAGTAGCTGCCTCTGGGTCACAACCTAGAAACAGGATCAACCTCAAACCCGCTTTCATTCATAAAAGGGAGTTTGTATTCTTTGAAATCACAGAAGATAGACCCAGAACATTTCAGAACTTCAGAAGTTAGAAATTTGGCAGGAGACCCACAACAAGGTGAAGAGGGTATCCTTCTCCATGTCCCCGTCCAACAGGGCTTCCCAGCCCCACTGCCTGCTCCCCTCAGGTTCCGGGGAAAGGGGAGCCTCCCTTCACTCCCTGCGCACAGCGCTAATGGACATGGATCTACTCACACCGCACTGTGCAGTAAAGCCTGAACTCACTGCCCCCAGCAGGCAAAGAGAAGTCCACACAAAACACTGTCTTACTTTGGAATCAGGCCCGAGAAGAGTGCCAGATGAGAATCCACATGGGATGCTGCCTTTCCTGTCCACTGAGAAAGGAGACATGACACCTCAGACTTGGGTCAGGGGTACCCGACCACACCCCCTCTTCTCTCAGGTCCTCCTCCTCCTCCGGCTTTCACTTCTTTTCTCCTGAACAAATCCTGCTTCTTCTCTGACTCTCCTGCCCTTCTCCCCAGGCCTGGCATGAAGGACTCCACTGGCCAACATCAGTAGGCACACTTTCCACGGTGGGCCCTGAGCACTCTGGCCTGTACCCCAGACCACTGCCTGCTCGCTGCTCACATAGGAGACAATCTAGAAGCTGAACCAGACTCCAAGCACAATGGACATAAATTATTCTCTGCGCCCCCTCCACAAACTGGAAACACCTAAAGCAGAAGGGAGACACTACTATACTCTATCCCCAGGAACTCACTCAGCAGAGGCCACAGAGACGCACTGTGTACAGCCCGGCGTGCCGGATGCAATGACGCACACAGAAGGAAAAACCAAAGTGTAAGAACCGGCGTGGGCGGCAGAACTCTCAAGGAACTGCCTTCCACCCCAGAGACACCACAAGGAAGAGCCTCGTCCCCTAACCTCAGCCTGCAGCAATCCAAGGGGCAGCCGTCACGAAGGACACCACTATGGACCGTGGACACCCTGCTTTTGTAGGTCTTCACTGTCTGCATTCTCAGTGGCTGTCTGAGTAAACAGTCCTTTCTGGATTAGCACACGGATGCCCCTGACAGAAAAACCAACACTCCAAGTCACAATCAACCCACCACTTCTTAAATGACAATCTGTCCATCAGGCAGTTACCTTACTCCAACTCTGAGTAAGAAAACTCAACTTCCAAGATCAGATTCTTGAAGATTAACATGTACCTCAAAGATGCGCAAGTAACACGCTATGAGAAGAAAACTATTTTACTTGCATGTAAATACACAGAATTTATAGAGGAAGAAAAAAAGAACAAAAAGCTGAGTTTTCTAAGCAGGTGAGTATCTTACTTACTTAAGTCTATTCCATTCATCAATTTTGACACTATATACAGATAAAAGTCAATTTAAAAACTAGTTCAAAAGCAATGAAAAAAATGGCACTTTTTTTTTTAAAAACAATGGCACTTTTAACATACTTTGCACAGCTGGTTCTTTAACTCAGAAGGTTCATGTACCTTCTAACAGCTGAAATCAAACTATGGAGCTGTTCAATGCTGCTTCAGAGAGCTGCCTTACCTTGGGGGGCTCAAGCAGGAGTTCGTGAAAAGATCCAAGTCTTCCTCGAATGGCTTCTAGAACACTCTTGTTGACTGAACAAGCTGAATGACTCATGCCTGGTGGGCAGATCTCTATATGGCCTTCAAATCTTGAAACAAAGCAAGTTAACTTTATTTATTATTTCAGAACAAACCATTCAAGGTGCTCGGTAACAGCGAATGGTGGTGGTTGAGTCACTAGGTCATGTCTGACTCTTGCGACCTCATGGACAACAGGTTCCTCCATCTGTGGGATTTTCCAAGCAAGAGTACTGGAGTGGGTTATCATTTCCTCCTCCAGAGGATTTTCCTGATCCAGGGATAGAATCAGTGTCCCCCACATTGGCAGGCTGGTTCTTTACCAACTGAGCCACCAGGGAAACCCGGATCAGAATATAGGGATATTCAAAACAGCTCTGGAATATATGTATTATACTAAAATTTCTGATAGGACAGAAAGAGGGTGTAATAAAACCTTGATAGGGATCAGCTGACATGACCAGAAATCCAACAACATATGCTGTCAGGGGAGAAATTATATACCATTTCTTCCCATTTTCTCCTGAACCTACTGTACTAATACCACGTCTCTAACCAGAAAATGTGGAAAGCAATGAGAGATCCCTGAATTAGAGCACATACCATCCTTGCCTACCACTGGATGACTGCTAATAATAAACAGGCCTGGGATTTCCCTGGTGCTTCAGTGGTTAAGAACTGGCCTGCCAATGCAGGGGACACAGGTTTGATCCCTGGTCCAGGGATCCCACATGCTGCAGGGCAACTAAGCTCATGCACCACAACTACGAAACCGGGCACCCTAGAGCCTGTCTCCCGTGTCACACACAGCAATGAAGACCCAGAGCAGCCGAAATAAATAGGCCGGTATTTGTTCTATGGATTCTCTTACCTAACCCAGCAACATTGCTTCTTCTTTAAAAGGCTTACGTTAACGTTCTGTATAAAGCTCCACCTATAGTCATTATAAGTAGCTTGGAGCTCCCCTGGTGGCTCAGACAGGAAAGCGTCTGCCGACAACTCAGGAGACCAGGGTTCAATCCCTGGGTCAGGAAGATCCCCTGGAGAAGAAAACGGCAACCCACTCCAGTATTCTCACCTGAAAAATCCCATGGATGGAGGAGCCTGGTAGACTACAGTCCATGGGGTTGCAAAGAGTCAGACACGACTGAGTCACTTCACTTTCTTTCACTTATAGTCATTATAAACCACTTCTCTCAGGAAAACAGTTACGAAATTGCTTTCATACAATCAGTGTAAGGAAGCACAGGGTTTCTCAAAGTTGGGGGACAGGAGGGAGGGGTATAAAAATGTGGGTGTACAATTCAGATTAAAAGATAAACCTGGGAGTGGTGTGTCAGTGCAAACTTGCTCCTAACAACACAGCTGCTGGAGCAAGGAGGCCTGCGCCGTATCCTGGCCCTTTGCTCACCAGCCATGTGTCTTGATGCGGAAAGAAGAGCCCACCCAGGACTGCCTGGGACCACGCTAACACAGAGGGTCAGGAGCAGAGCCTGAGACAACTAGCACCTAGAGAGGGACTGTCACAACAGGTATCCGAAAACATTTCACACGTGCAAGTGATTTCCAAGAGCCTCACATAACAGCATTCAGAAATCCAATTACAGAAAGGGCGAGTGGGCAGGGGAAAGGACTTCTGCTCTGATTATAGTGCTTTTTACTGTGTAGGGGTTTTAATAATTTATGTGGCCAAATATAGCATTCTTCACTACAGTTTCTGTCCAGGAAGCCATACTTTAAAACTTCTTTACAATGTCATAATCCTATGAGCTTCTGCATACTTTTCCTCTAGTAGTTTTCATTTAATTTATCTGGAATTTATTTTTATGCAAAACAGGCATAGACACTGGATTTCTTCCCCAAGAGGCGAGTCGCTTTCTAAGCCACATTTACGATCTGCTTTTTTCCACTCATATGAAAATACCATACAAAAACTTATACTCAAAATCTTTACTCATTCACATAAGTTTCATTTGTTCATATGATAAATATTGGTGGTGGTGCAGAGGTGAAGTTGTATCTGACTCTTGCAACTCCATGGTCTGTAGCCTGGCAGGCTCCTCTGTCCATGGGATTTTCCAGGCAAGTATACTAGAGTAGGTTGCCATTCCCTTCTCCAGGGGATCTTCCCAACCCAGGGATTGAACCCCAGTCTCCTGCATTGCTGGCAGATTCTTTACCGACTAAGCTGTTCAACTAATAAACAGTGAGCATAAACTTATCTACCTGCCTTGACTGAGGTGCAACAGTCAATATCCACGGTGTTTCTCACATTTTAGTTCTTTCAAACGTATGTAAAAATCCGCCAAATCGAAAACAAAACTCACACTGACACTCCAAGCAGAGGCACGTTAAATGTGGAACTTAGACCTGGAAAGGCACAGGCAGCGGCGGCTGCTGGGGGCATGGGAGCAGTCAGTGTCCCTTCTCTGCTGAACAGCGACCTAGTGTCCCGACACACCACAGCTTCCTCACCACTCACCAGGTAAAGACACTCTGCCTTCGCAGTTTTGGGTGATTACCAGTAAAGCGCACAAACACTCACTTGTAAGTTTCTGTGATACAATTTTCACTTCTCATGGGTAAATATCTAAGAGTACTGGATAACAAAGATCTGTTATTTAAGAACTGCCAGGCGCTTTAGAAGGTGGCCACACGACTTTCCATCCCAGGCAGATCGTGTGAGGCTTCACTGTCACCAGCACTGTTTGTTTATGCTCATCTGGTTCAGATACGCTCAGTGGGCTGAATGTATCTACCTCCTAGTCCCCATCTGGATGCCTAGGTTTTCTTCCTGCCTCCGACAGACGGCATGAAGCTGAGAAGAACTGGTGAGGGGGATGTTCTCACCATGGCCCCTGATTTTAGGGGCTACGATTTCAGCCTCTACCATTAAGAATGACGGCGCTCAAGGGTCTTTCTGTTTCTCAGTTTCCAAGTTCCTTTGTATTTCTTATTTGCAGATGTTTTATCACAAAAGATTTAATGAAATGGTCACACGGTTTTACTTCTTTAGTTTGTTGATACGAATTACACTGATTTTTATAAGAACTATTTTTATACAGTGGTTTTAAGTTCACAGCAGAATGGAAGAGAAGGTACAGACTGGCCATATGCCCCCTGCCCTCACAAATGCACAGCCTCCCCCACTACCAACATCCTCTACCAGAGCATTTATTACAGCCCGCGAACCTACACGGACACATCATCATCACCCCGAGCCCAGAGCACTCCGCAGAGCCCACTAGATGGTGTACGTTTTATGCGTCTGGACAAACAATGACACGTTTGGGGCACGAAAATATCACACAGAGGGTTTTCACGGCCCTAAAGGTCCTGGGCTCCACCTATTCACTTCACCCCCACCGCCACCCTCTGGTCATCAGTGACCTTTTTACCGTCTCCACAGTAAAATGAGACATTTTCCAGAAGGTTATGTAGCCTTTTCAGATTGACTTTTTCCCCTTCTTTTTCACTTGCATTCAAGGTTCCTCCATGTCTTTTCATGGCTGGAGGGCACCTTTTTAGGGCTGGATAATATTCCACTGTATGGATAAACTACAGTTTGTTTATTCACTCACTCACTGAAGACATCTTAGCTGCTTCCAAGTTGTGGCAAGGGTGGATAAAGCTGCTAAACAACCACGTGTAGGTTTTTGTGTGAATATACGTTTTCATCTCCTTTGGGTAAATACCAAGGAACATAACTGCTGGGACTCTATGTTGAGAGCGTGTTTGGTTCTGTAAGAAAGTGCTGGACTGCCTTTCAAAGTGGCTGCAGCATTCTGTGTTTCCACCAGCAAGGAAGAAGGGCTCCCGCTGTTCTGCGGTCCTGCCAGTCAGGTCCAGTGAATTGCTAGCACTGTGCTTCTTACTGATTTCTGTCTAAATGTTATGTCTGTTTCTGAGAACAGTTTAGACTTTCAGACAAACTGCAAAAGTACTAGAGCCCCCATATGACCTATACTCAATCCCCCCATCATTATCTTACATTTATCAAAATTAATTCACCAATACACGTAAAATCCACACTTCATTCAGATTTCCGTGTTTTTACCTCAAGTTGTGCCTCTGTCTGGAGTCCATGCAGGACACCTCACTATGTTTACTGTCAAATGTGCTCTGTCCTTCACCTGCTCTTGGCTCTGAAAGTTCCTCGAACTTCCCTGGCCAGGCACTCTGCAGAGGGTCCCTCAGCCGGGACCTTGTCTTGGACTTCTCTCACGATTGTGGGTTGTTGAGAGGAAGACCACACAAGTAAAATGTCATTTTCATGACACACCATCAACACAACTTAACACTGGCTGTTGACTTTGAGTGTCCGGCTGAGGAAGTGTTGGTTCTAGCTGTCCTTCCACACTGTACTTTCTAGAAGGAAGTCGTGAGGTGCCAGCTACAAGTAAAGAGTAGAGAGTTTTACTCTTCCTCCTAGAGATGGAATTATGAACTACTCGGAATTCTGCCACACTGGAGAGTTGTCTCTTCTTCCCCATTTACTTGTTCAATCATTTATCTGTATCAGGATGGATCCATGGTAAAGTTATTTTATAGCTACCTTGTGCTGTAACACAATACAATGCCTTGCTTTACTGGGCAAGTACTGGCAGCCCCAGCTTTGGCCAGCGGGAGCCCTTTCAGTTGCCTCCTGTGTCCTGCTCACACACCCTTATTGTGGGTTTTTTCCTTTCTCTTTTTTTTTGGTCATCCTGCACATGGGTTCCTGGTTCCCTGACCAGGGATCAAACCTGCGCCCCCTGTATTGGAAGCACAGAGTCTTAACCATTGCACCTCCAGGAAGTCCCTGTGGGTCTTCCTTATTGTTGAGCACATCCTCAGTCTCTACGCTGCACGATGCTCCACACTCATCTCATGCATGTCTGACCCCAGTGGTAGAACCAGCCGTTTCTCCAGAGCCCTGACTCCTTGACTGGAGGGTGGGGTTAAAAACCAAGACCCCGGCACATGGTACACTTGTTTCTGGCAGGACATCATGGCTTCTGGACCTCACAAAGCAACTGTCTCCTGGCTCCAACTTTTCATATTTCATTGTAGGTAACTTCTAATGTCCTACACTGATTCTTTTCTCAACTATGTCGAAGTTCACAAATGAGCCCAAAGATATTTTTCACTTCTAGCATTTCCAGATGATCTTCCATAGCTCTGCTAAAATTCTCCATCTGTTCACATAGTGCTGCTCACTCTTCCCACAGTCTTTAACATATCAATCACAGTTTTTTTTTTTCCTAATTCCCTACCAGAGAGTCCCAACACTTTTGATTCTAGTTCTATTGACTGCTTTTTCTCTTAAGAGCTTGTCGGCTTCTTTTTATCTGGCTCCTTCTTATCTGGCTTCTTCATCTCGAAATTTTTTGGTTGAAACGTGGACATGCTGTGTAAGACAACAGAAACTTATATAACTAGTACTTGTCTGCAGCAGACACACCTCTTTCCCCCTAAGTCTTTAGTGTAAAGTTTGGGGATCAATTTACAGTCAGCAGCGGAGCTCAGTTCGGGCTGTGGCTGTGACTGTTTCTTCTCAGTGCACCAAGACGTCAAACTGGTCTCAAGTTACTCTGTATTTATAGTTACGGCTGGACCGCCAGGTCTTTCTCAGTGTCTGCTCTGCCCTCAGCTGAAGTTCCTCCTTCAAGCTCACTCCCATGCTGACGGTCTCCCAGGGCCACGCCGCAGCCTCCCCTCCATCAGCACCCGGCTATACCCACTCCACGCATGGTGGCCTGGGGTGGGGGAGGCATGGGAGGAACGGCTCTGTTGTTCTGGCTCAGCCTCAGGCACCAGAAATGCCCCTGGGCCTCAGGGATGGGCCGGATCACCAAGACTTCAGGGACAGGGGCTCTCTAACAGCCTGGGTCCTGGCTGTGTCCCTGCTTGTCCTGTGGGATAGAGGGTCTTCCCTGGTCCCTCCACCCACTGCCAATGGCCCCATGCATGCTAAGTCGCTCAGTCCTGCCCGACTCTTTGTGACCCCATGGACTGTAGCCCGCCAAGCTCCTCTGTCCATGGGATTCTCCAGGCAAGAATACTGGAGTGGCTGTGCATGCCCTCCTCCAGGGGATCTTCCCCACCCAGGGATCAAACCCACATTTCGTATGTCTTCTGCAGAGGCAAGCAGGCTCTTTACCACTAGTGCCACCTGGAAACCCCAACCTGTGTCTTTAGGGTTACAGGGTTTGCTGCCCTTTCCCCAGTGGCTTAACAGCCGGCAGCCAGTATGTCCTGAGCAGGGCTAGCAAGTGAATGCAAAGTCCTGTGTCCACAGTTCTCAAGCACCCTTGCTCTCCCTGCACCTGGGGCACATATGGCATTAAGTGACCTACTATCACTCTACGTTTATTAGAAAACACATCGGAACTATCACCTTTTGAGCTGAAATACTGAACACTGAGGACACTGAGGAACACTGAGGTCTCATATGACTGAAAATGCCTCATGCCCTCACACAGCAATCAAAGTATTTCAGGGTCACAATCCTGCCGGTCTTTCAGTGTTTATGCAACTTTATAAATGAGATGTCTGGCAATCTGATCTGCTTTGCAGTTAACCCATTTTTTCTTGTCCAAATGGTTTTAAGATTTACCCTGTATCCTAGGGACTCAGAAATCTCCTAAGGATAAGGCTAAGATCTTAGCCACCTACCACCCCTCTGTCCGCCCCTCTTTAAAGTTAATCCTGCTTAGTGTCTGATCAACCTTTGTGGTCTGGGCTAAGTTTCTTCTGATCAGAAATTTCTTCTGTCATTTCTTTTATCGTTGTATTGTTTCTGTTCTCAAGTCGAAGTCGTCAACATAAATCTCACAGCACCAGCTCACGTGCTTTTAAAGCATTGTAAGAGATGATGCAACTGCCTTACACCAGGAGTAGCAAGGTAACATTCCTGTACCACCTGATCAATACCGTAAGTTACTGGTTACATTATTTAAAATAGGATTTAACAGGGAAGACACAGTCTAAGTCAGAACTGCAGATACAATCCCAAAATTACAATATACTTGAAGCACTGCTGCCACATTGACATTCCATGATCAGTAACCAGAGATGAAAAAGACAGGAATAGAGATGAAGACTTTGGGAACCAAGGACTGATAAGGCTGTGTTTACTGTTTTGCTAGAAACCAAATGACATCATTAAAAATAAATCCAGAAGTCCTGGATGGCTAAATTCTCTTATGCTAACAGCAGATCTTGTTGTTCCTTCACTTCATGCCTCTGCTTTACGGGATGGATCCAATAGTGAACAGGAAAATACAAATTCTGATTCTAAACCACGTGCTCCCGGATCACAAATATATGCATACCTCTTCAAATTCTCATTCTCCAGAAAACAATCTGGAAAACTCTGACAATTAATAAGTAAATTAGCTTTAGGTATAAAACTGTAAAGAAAAAGACAAATATTAAATGAGTTGTCCAGAGGCACACAAATAGGAAAAATACACTATCTTTCTGATTCTTAAACACACCACAAAGTTTTCCTTAAGGCCTGAAGCCACCTGTTCATCCATTTTAAAACAGCCTAATGAACTGCAGTGCCTCATGTGTGAAGCCTCAAGTTAGCGCAGAGAGGACCGACGAGCCCTGAATCGCCACTTGGAGAACTGCACACCAACCAGGAATAGCTATTTTCAATTTACATAAACAAGAAATAAGCTTCTCTTGTATGTGAGCTATTCTGCATGGGTTTGACTTATTATAGGAGCATTTTGGTAATGACTACAAAAACTCAAATGACAAGAATCCAAATGTTGCCAATACTGCTTGCTAAAGCATATTTTTCAACTGCATCTATGTATTGCATTCATATAAAACTATTTATATAGTAGAAAAATATTCAGCAAATGAAATTCAAGGGCATGATACTGTAGTAATAGACCACTAACTTAATTCTTAGTTTTAAAAAACTCTAAAAGGAAAACCAAATGACTCATTTCGCGAAACAGACGGAAAACTTACGTTGGTCGCCGTGTCTCAAGTAAAGTCAACAATATCTGGATTGCACTGACTATGGCCGATTCATTTTTCTCCGTGTGGAAAATATTTGATAGAAGCTGCTCTATAATTTCTTGCCTAGGGAAACAAATCAACAGTCAAGTGCTAACTGTAATGTTATTTAACACCAACAACTTCAGAAGAAAAGGTCACAGTAATACAAGTACTATATAAGAATGTACTTAATTAACAAAGATCTACAACAGGTACAAGAGAGTATCGATTGCTGCATTTTGCCCTAAAATTAAAACCTGGTAAATCAAAATAATGTGGCAGTAGTGAAAGGGATCTGACTGAACTACTGCCCATGAAGTATTCTCCACAAGCTCTATCCAGGACATTGTCCTATGCATGTAAACAGGTCACAATTAAGGTAAAATACAACGGTAACCTGTTAGGTAAATTTATACGCATGTTCGCAAGGAAAATCTGTTTCCCAGGCTCTCAGTAATTTTTAGAACCCGTGTGGATTAAGAAATGGAATCTCCCTCGCACTGTGACCGACACCTGGGTGTTCCTGTCGCTCGCCTGACACACACACCAGTCTCCCCACAGTACAGTGGGCTCAACGGATACTAATGCCAGCTCCTCCGCCAGGGCAGGATGGCAAGCAGGGAATAAACTCTTCTTCTTTGGAGGAAGCAAGCAAAACTGACATCTAACCTAACTTCAGAGGATCCCCTCGCAGGAAGCAGTCTTCCAGTATTCCCAGCCAGCAGCACTCAAACTGCTTATAAGACCTCTATCCTAAACAGTACTGTAAAAGTCACTCAGCATACAGCAGTCTAGGGTATAAATATTAAACGTGGGATTGAGCTCTGAAACGCAGGCCTCACCGCAGAGAGGGAGGCGCAAGCACCTCCGTGACACGGCCGCTCCGGAGGCGACCAGTCTGAGCTGACCTGAGTGGGAGGCGCACGCTGGGGTCCCAAATGTGCACACAGGAAGTGAACGGAGAGCAGTTCACTAGTAACTTTAGATAAACACGTGCTGGCATATTTTTGTATCTATCAATAATATACACTTACATATTTTGTATAAATTATAAATATATACTTATTCTAGAATACATAAAAATTAAGTTCACCTGTTTTTAACTTTTATATGGCTACTAGAAAAATTTTAATTACATGCGACTTTTACTGTATTTTTATTAGACAACGCAATCATGTACCATATGAAATTACTGACAGCCCACATGTTTTAAACTATTTGAATGGCAATTTCATATGGTTCAATCTCATAATAGTATAATTACTAGTACTGTATGGAGTACCTAAGCCACAATGATAAGGATAACTAAAACGGGGCAGGTAAGATGACAGTTTACTCAGAAGCTGACAATCTCTTAAGTTTTGCTACTTGAGAGAACTAGTGAACTCCTTCCTATTCTATAATACACACTGGAAAATAAAACTTTATTTCTCAGAATACAGTTTAAAACAAGATATTTTGTCTCTAATTTGTTCCTTGCTTGTCTCACACCTGACAAATAAATAACACACATGTCTTATTTTAATAAAAGGGCCTTCCAAGCCAAAAGATGCAAATAAGCCTCAATACATAGGAAGACTAAAAAATGTTCCAACAAAGTCACTAAAAAGAACAACAGCAACAGTGAACTGAAGCTAAATTGTCATTTATATGTAACAATGCTAACTATTCACAGTCTTTCCCAATTATTCATCCCAAGTAGGGAAATGCCTTATTTTTATTAAAATAACTTTTAGTTTTATGGATTCAGGTTGAATGTATGCACAATGCTTGATGGCCAATATTCTTCCTGAAATCGTGTGGCTCTAGATATACCAGTATGGTAGGCTGGCCACTCACAAACTTCACAATCGTACACCATCCCTAAGTGGTCTTCCACCTTAATGCAAGATGTCTGTTCACTGGGAATTGCCTAGAAACAAGGGCAAAAGCAATACAAAGAAACAAAACACACAGGATGTATAACCCTTCATATCAGGTCTGGTCAGGCGACCCCTCGACAGCTGCCAAAATAGAGTAAATCCTAAGAAGAGCTTCTGATCAAATGTGTTTGCACTTAAGACTCTTCTCTCAGAGACCATGGAGGCAGTGACTGCAGTTATGATATCAGTGTCCCATCTCACAACCCTACACAGAAATGGCTCTTATTTATTAGCACATTCTTACCCTGCAGGTCTCCAATGGCATCATGAGGGGCTGAGATGAGATGAGCAGGTTCTCCTGCCTTCTCGCCTGCCCACAGGTATTTTCCGGGGACTCAATCCCCACGTGAGGAACACTTACCAAAGAGTGACAAATGTAACGTATCACAGAGCATCAAGGAGAAAAGACAACAAGAACAGAGATGCAAACGTACTTCTCTAGAGTGGCAAGCAGGGGGTCTGGCTCTGCACTGCTCTGGACCTGTAACATCTGGTCTCTGCTCAGGCGGACAATCTCACAAAGTGACTGTGCTGCATTTGAGTGCCGCTAGAGGAAAGAAGCACAGTGTCAACTACAGAACACACCAGAAGTCAAACTTACAATAAAGAGTGAAGAAACTGCTTAAGAAGTAACACAAATTAACACTGGCCATAAGCTACAGTAAATAAGAAATAACGTATGTAAAGTATTGAGTATTTTACCCTCTTGGGCTGATGAGCTTTGTTAACAATACTGACAACAGAATACAGCTGCTGTGTGTAGAGAAATGTGATTAAAGTTCTGGCAAGGAAAATTTCTATAATTAAACTTGAAGAAAAATGTACGCCCTCAACTGATATACTTTTAGCAGCACAGAAAGATGAACCCACTTCCTTGACTTAAAAAAAGAAAAATGCAGCTTTCTGGAATATATTAGTGAGTAAGAAACACTACACCTTCTTCCCATCCTTAGCGTGCAACCCTACAAGACACTCTGAGATGCTGGCACTGAGCACCGCCTGCCCAGGGAGAGCAGAACAACAGGATTCTAGTGCAGACGACAACAGGCACCAGGATAGCAAAACCCACTGTTTGGAGTCAGGCGTCAAGAACTTAATAATATATAAACTGGTCAGTATAGTGTAGCATGCAGTTTATCACTTAATACACAATAGAAATATCAACAGGACTGTCCAGAAAAACAAAATAAACTTTCTTGCAAGTCAAGTAGAGAAGGTGCTGATGCCCCAAACACTTTGTCCTTTGCAAAAGGACTGGCTCCAGAGATGGGCCTCTCCTTCATCAACCCTTCAGACAGCAACCACGTCCAGTTGAGCAAGAAAGAGGCTAGTGAGGAGCAAGCTGCATCCCCACCCCGGGAACAGGCCAGGCCCGCCTCTGCCCTCATGTACAGCGCACGGGAAATGTGCTCTAGAAACCATCGACCGCCCCCACCTCCCCTCCCCCAGCCACAGCAGGAGGGCCGAGGCCCCTCTAAAGCCGTGGCACCGAGACCAGTCCACACACGGGAGTGTCCTAAGTGTCAGCAGGAACAACACTACAGCGGGAACAAGTGAACTGTCAGAGGAGAGCTATAGTCCCATTCATGGCTAGCTCGTTTTTTTCTGAAGGGGACAGTGGGATGGAGAGCCTGCCTTTGATGAACTCCAGGTACCAAAAGGTTTTGAATGGAGTGGAGTAGAAGGGAAGTCCCCCTTCGTAAGGGAGAACACTCTCCGGCCACATGCTTCCTCCCCAGCACTGTTCTTCTACGGCGCTCACTCTCCAACTGACCCACAAGCCAGAGCATCGAAGGAGGGCGCCTGTGAGCATGACACACCCAGCGTGTTCGCTGAACCAACTCCTTTGTAGATACTACATCGAACCACATGGAACCATCACTTCTCTAGGCAGAAATGGCCACATGCTGGCCACTCCACAGGGCTCAGAGCAGCAGAGAAGCTGGGTGACTGTCTCCACTACAGAGGCACACTTGCTGGTGACTCCACACCACCCCACCCCACCGAGCTCCCTGTGCAAACTCCAGAGCAGCTTTGACGCTGCCACCCAGTCAACCTTCAGCACCCAGGACAAAGGCCAAACCGGTCAGGGCACAAAAGCCTGAGTCCCCAAGAGCCCAGCACTCTGGGACCCACTGGGGACCCGGAGCTGCTGTGTGTCTGGAGGCTTTCGCCAGAATGGAAAACACAAGCGCAGACAGATGTGGCCACATCCTCTAGGCTAAAGATGGGGATAAAAGAAAAATGTGTGGAAGAGGTTCGTGACGAAGGCGAACAGATGCAGCCCCTGCTCTAAAGAGATGGAGCGAGACCCAGGGCTTACCGTTTCGCATTCGGGAAATTGGGTATCAGAAAAACACAGCGTTTTTGAAAGCCTTCGGTGTTTAGAAAACTGCCAACCTGAAGCATGCCAGGTGATTACTAGTACCTGTCCTCTACATTCACATCTAGTAAAATGATGCTCTGTGCCCAAAGGAACATGACTCTCTTTCCAAAAAATCAAGTTCAGAGTCACAAAAGAGAACTTACATCTTCTTCTTGCGATGGATGAACTATTTCCACGAGCCTCTGGATAATTTTCTCCTCATTTAACCACTGTAAAACACATTGTAGAAGGAATCATAGCAATGAGTAGCTCCTGTTCAAGCCCCAATAAAGATTAACATACTTGGAAATATCTATCATATTTTAAGTAGAATGCTACAGGTTTTCTCTGAACTTTGAACACTACAGGAAATTAAAAGTCCCCCAAAGAAAATGCCAGTGAATATATTATTTTAACAGTAGCTATAGTACCAACTACTCCCAATGTCACAAAACCACATCCCCAAATTCTACACATCAGCTTAGTGATGTTAGTTCTCAGGCACTGGGTACTAAAAAAGTCTGCACTTTGGTTATAAAGTGGAAGGGGAGATGAAATTTATACATTTTCTGTAAGAGTGGTCATTTTAAGGGAGCTTCAGAAAGGCTGAGAAAAACAGTATGTAGTATCAAGCCTCCGGTTTAAAACACACGATGAACTTTTAGATTCTAAAACAAAAACAACCACAGGAAATGTGGGGGCTGGTGGGGGGCACAGAAAGTTTATCTGCCCGGTCACATGTTAGCAAAGAGCTGTTATCATGACTAGGACATTCTTCTTTAACTATGGATGAACTACTGCCATGAATGAAAATATGAAAGGGGTAAGAATAAATGGAAAAGCACCTGGCGGAATATCAACTCCACAAGGAAGAGAGATACCAAGTAAATAAAGGCAATCTCTACCTAGAACAGATGGGTGGACACACACACACACAATCCCTAAAGTTACAAGAGATGGGGGGTGGGAGGCAGGAAATCAAACACAATTTGCCAAAGGCCACAGAGAAATTCTTAGGTTGTCCTCAAGCTCCTCAAGGAGAATATGCCAAAGGAAAATGCAAACAAAAGATCTCAGGAGACTACCAGGAAGGCAGGGGCCCATCTTATTTTAAGATGTTTTAAAATGTGCACATGACGCCCCTCCAGGGTCATGTTCACACAGATTCTGACCCAGCAGGGCAGCGGTGAGATCCAGGTGATGTTTGGGACCACACTCTGAGTAGCCATGTCCTCAAACAGGACGCAAACACCTCTGCAGAGAAGCTAGGGCTGAGGGTTCCGACCACCCAGACAGAAAGTAGGAAACTTTGTGGGCAGTGAACAAATCGATCCCCCCCACCCACCTCCACAGCTACTAGCAAGTACCCACAGTCCAAGCCCACAGCTGGCCCCCAGATCAAAGCCAGACATTCAGGAGTTCTAACTACCTTTCCCTCCACCTCTGCCTTTATTACCACCTACCACTACATCCCTTGAGAAGCACACCTACTCCCTTGGAAGTAAGCCCTCAAATCCAACCCAGAAGTGACCAAAGGAACTCTAAGAAACCATACTGAATAACCTACTCCAATAACAACAGATATGAAGGCAACCACGCTCTTAGCCGTAACTGCCTTCTCTGGAGTCCCCAGTCTCTATGGAGAAAACACTCACACACTCAAACACACGCCTAAAGGTGGCCGAAGTCCCAGTTTAAGGCCCTTTCCTGGGGTGTTCACACCAGGTCCTCTCAGCTGACATACTCACGTGGCCATGCTCTCAGAAGACCTCTGCCTGGTCCTACAGACCGGGCCTGACACCGTTCCCTGACACCGCCCCCACACCACACCCCCCCACACCACACCCCACGCCTGCCCACCTCGGCGGACTGTGCCCCTCTCCCTGGGACACTTCCTGGCAGACCCTACTAACTCTCCTCTGGGCCTTCCCAGGTCTTTAGCATTGTCAATAAAACTCATTTCCAGAGTTCTGAGGTTTGAGGTTGAGTATTAAAGACAGAATGGGCTGGGGAAAGGCTCTGGAAAAGGCAGTGAAGGGGACGAAAGAGAAGAAGAGACAGAAGAGGCAGAGCTGAGAGCCTGCGAGAAACGTCACCTTCAAGTCATTCACACCCTCCTCTTCCCACCCAAGACAATCCTCCAGAGACGTCTGTTCTGGAATAACCACCTCCCCCAAATCTGAAACACATGCCCCTTTGGAGGTAAACTCCATTCTCCTCCTATCCCATGCTCCCAGGCATCCATGAGAAGGTTACTCCCGAAGCCAGATACCCTGAGAATACCACACCTCTTCCTTTTGACTTTTAGAGACATCCCTGCAGGTGACCATCTCAAGACAGAGAGGACTCCTCACAGCCTGCTCAAAAGAGACTCAGAGCTCCCGACCTTCTCATTTCTGCTCTTCCCACCAGACCAGCTAAGACAAATCCTTAATTCAGTCTACCTTCCCACTCCGCTAAAGAGCAAGTCAGCAAAGGAAAAGAACAAGAAGACAGCCTGTGTCTCTCGAGATGTGCACAAGGGGAGCCCTAACCCTGGAAAAATCCGGATTTCTTCCTGTGGTGGAGCCCGCCTCCTGCCCCCCACACCCTTATTACCAGTCCCTGGAGTCCCAGGTGGGTGGCACAGCCCAGGGGCGGGAGTGCCCCACCCTGACAACTCACATTCAGCACCTCCTGCCTGGGCTGCGGGGGCTCGATGCACGTCAGGAGCCTGAGCAGCAAGTCCATGATGGCCGACGTTCCTATGTGCTTCATGATAAGGTCCACAAAGTCACGTTTCTTCTTCAGGAAATCCACAATCTAGAGGAGAATAGCCACAACTGAAAGACACATCCCAGGGGAACTACTAGCTTTAGGACACTTTCAGTCCTGACCCCTTGGGCTGCCCCCTCCAAAGTCCCATCACCACTTTAAGTTAAGGCAAGTCAAAGGCTGAATTAGTCATAAGATGTCAAACTGGAAAGCCTTCTGATTGTTACAGAACTGAAAAACCTCTTAAAAAAAAAATCTCCTAAATCACCACCTGTTCCCTGATACAAACACACCATAACAGAATCTTTCATTTCTGCTCACTTTCATTATTAATTCTGAAAGAATGAGGATCAAAAATTTAACACTCCATAAAAGGCAAGAGAATATACCACTTAACAGTTTATAGACATAAAGCAAGTCCATTAGACTTTACACAAAAATGCAGACTAAACATTCAAAGTCCTAACTGTACTCTAGCAAGTAAGAAAAACATTCAAAACAGATTTCTGCATCAAAGTGGCTAACTCACATGCTATAGAAAATCACAGCTGCATTTTATTTCAGCCACTCACCTGATCAGATTAACACCAGGAAGGTGAGCGTGGGAGAGACTGGCCATTAGCCCGAGGGGGTGAGAAAACATGACTGAAGTCAGGGCTGCCACCTGGGTCTCTCCTGCACAGGCAGAAACCTGCTCTGCCTCGGACACCCCGTGTACCTTCTGGCTTTTGTCCACGTGCAGGAATCATCTGCTCAAAAGTCCCAGAAGCAGCACAGCCAGTGAGGCAGCTGCCATGACAGTATCACCCTGACGTCTCCCAGAAGCTTGTAAGGTGGGGCTGCTCAACTCAAATGTTCTAGGTGAGGAAACTGAGGCCCAGACCAGTCAAGGATTTTGCTAGAAGCTAAAAAGTGGTTGCCCTGAGATTTAAATCCAACAGAGCCACAAGCTCATCACCCCACATGACAGCTACAAGGCAGGGGTGAGCTAAAACTGCTTCACACTGTCAGGTGGAAAGGCAGAATTCACCATCACACACTGCTTCTTTAAACAGTGAGGTTAAAGGCTGTAACACAGACCTTCAGTAAGTTATACATAATTAATCCACTCACAGCTGAGTCACACAGTCGTTTTTAAAAGCATAGTGGAGGAGAGGGGAAGAAAAGGAGGCATGTGGTCAAAACACTGCATTTCGTGGCCGAAGCACCAACTCCAGAGCCGGCAGGCAGGGCCGAGGGGGCACAGCAAGGAAGACGATGGGGCACAGCAAGGAAGACGAGGTGGCCTGTCTGGGGGGTGGCACTCACCCACCAGCACTCAGGGTGCCCCTCACAGAGGCCCTGCTGCTCTGAGAAGTGTCTGTACTGGTTAACTCAGACTGTCTGAATTCAGTTGCACATAACCTTACCAACATATCATGTGATGGGAAACCTTCATTTACACTCATAACTCTCAAAAGGAGAGGAAGGTGCCAGTGTGGGCTTCTCCTGTAGCTGAAGGAGCAAGCAAGGACTCTCGAACCCCCTCGTGACTGAGGCCGCGCTGAGCAGCACACGCGCAGCACAGTGGACGGGCCTGCTCTGGCGCTCAGTCGGCGCGTGCCGCCTCCTGCTCACAGGTGACACGTCTGACCTCGGGAAGCCCAGGGGGCTCGAAGTGTGTCGTCAACCTGTACTAGAGACACGGAACACCAGGCCCCACAGACTTGGGCTCCCCGGCACAGAGGGAGGAGACAGGCACGAGGAGATGTGAGGCTGGTCTCAATCGCGACCACAGCCACGGGGAACTGACCAGCACTCAGACTGATGGGTGACCTGAGCTCTCCTAGGAGAGTAAGCAGTCCTGTCATTTCTCACCCAAAAGCAGGAGGAGGAAGGACGAGCTGTACTGGAGTGACCGGGATTCGGGGATTACTATCTAAGAAACAAGAACCTCAGTTCCAACACACTGAGAAAGGCAATCCTGCTCAACTAAGAACACGGAAGCATGACCTCGTCTGTCTAAAATAAGACCTGTATGCACTTGGCCTTGGCACAGGGCAGGCGTACTGGGCCGAAAATAGTTCCAGCCCCTCCAGGTCTGCTGATAGCAAGGACGGGTCACGGAGCCTGCCTTCCACCATGAAGGATGCCAGGCCCAACTGCTGTGACCCCTGCACCCCCGTCATCACATCCCCACTGCCTGCACTCTGCAAACTCTTAAGTTTGTTCTTGGGCATCTGAGGCTCCTGCTGCTCCCTGAGGCCTGTTTCTGTAAGTGAATCCTAATCTCCTTGTAAGCAGATCCTTTTTCACACCAGTACCCGCCAGAGCCATGATTCTCAAATTTTAGCATCGTCCCAGTCATCTGGGAGGCTTCTTACACCCCAGACTGCAGGCCCCACCCCAGGGTGTCTGACTCAGCAGGTCTGGAATGGAGCTCAAGAACCTGCGTTTCCAACAAATTCTCGGGTGGTATTCATGCTGCTGGACCAGAGACCACACTTTCGAGAACAACCACACACAGCAGATACCTGGAAAAGACAAGTTTCCAGGTACACGAGAACAAGGAGGAAGAGGGAGAGCAGGACAGTGGGAGGAGGTTCCTGCCGAACCCCTGTCAAGCTCTACTGGGCAGAAGAGCAAAGCTCCCCGTGTGTGTACACAGCAGTCACTACCCAGAGGTCTCAAGTTTGTGGGTGGAAGCAAAATACAAGGAAAAAAAACACCTAACTATATGAACTAATCACCAATCGCATTCATGGGAAAGCTTTCCGACTTAAGCTTCACTGTGATCTTCACCAGGGAAAAGAATAAATAAACGAACTGTTACTTTACTCAGCCACTGGGACACCACCCACGCACCCTGCCGCCCTGTGCGCCCTCACGCGGCCCTCACAAACTGACCCCAGCATGCTCTTGCTTCCCACCACCTGTCAGAAAAGCAAGCCAAAGTACACTGAAAAACTGAGATATGAGGCACTTAGAAAAGATCAAATTAGAAAGTGTTCCTTAAGGCGTTAAGCCAGTGGAAAGTCAGCAAGCATTGAGGATATTTAAGGTGTAAAATCTATTCTTTTACAGAACGTGGGACATAAGGCACACTCAGAACACTGAAGCAACAAAAATCACTGAGGATCACCTCAAGGGATGCTCAGCCCTAATACTTACCTTTTTGGAAAACAGTATTTACCTGTTCTGGTTTTCTGCTGATAAGAATACTTAGCACCTTGCTGAAGAAACTGGCAAGTAGTGGGTTCAAGGGGGAATCGTTTAGGAGGAAGCTATACAATTTCATTAGCAAGGATTCATCTTCTCCCAGTCTATCGTTCATTTGGGAGACATCAGAAGTGAGCAACTCACAAGATATATTTGGATACCTAGAAGAACAGGATACTCATGTCATCATCTGTATGAACAGTTTACTTACATAAATCAGAACACAGATCAGAAAGGCTTCCTAAAACTTTGTGAAAATTTTTTTAAACAATCTTCCAGGAATGAGAAAATAATTTCAATCCATTCTGCCAATTTAAACTAGAGTGAATTTTCTTCCATGTCTAAAAACCAATACAGTCTCCCCAGCAAAACCAGAGCACACCTGGGACCCTCAGGAGGCGAGGGCGGGGACCCCTCAGAGGGGGCAAGACACAGCCGTGGGCCGCAGCCCTCAGCCACCCGCTCTGGTGCGGGAAGCAGCGCAGCTCGCAGGACCACCGCAGCGGACGCCGGCTTCCGGCAAACTGCCCTGCACACGGCACTGTGCGACTGCTCGAGACACATCTAGGTTCCTGGACAGGCGGCCTGTGTTCTCAGAAGGGCTGTCTACGGTATTAGAAAGCTGGGCGTGCCAAGTGTCCAGTCCACATTACATGTGAAGAGAATAAACACTTCAATATACTCGAGCAGAGAATAGGACACAGCCTGAATTCCCCAGGTGGGAAAACAAAGTGTATATGGAAACTGAGCTGTCCACAGAAGCCTTCCAGTCTCCTGGGACCAGTCCACCTTGGATCTCACTGCTCTGTGCCACAGCCCTCCTCCACAGGCCCCCAGCCCTGACAACACCCACACCCCAGTGGCACGTCTGCCCTGAGCACCGGTGCTCTCTCTCTGAACAGGCAGCAGCAGATTCCTTTCCTCCACTCGCTTCTTTAACCACAAATGACTTCTCATCTGTTCTCAGAGAGATCATGGAGACTCCCAGGCCCGCCCAGACTGCACTCTCCCCCACCTGCCATTCCCTTCTCTGCTCTTTATCCCTCCCTGGTGAGCAGGAGCAGCAGGGAGTGGCGAGCTCTGATGTTGACCAGGACAGGGAGATGACAAAACAGCCTGAAATGGGGAGAAGGATAGAGACTGTGGCCGGAACCCATGCAGCATCCCTGAGACAAGCTGGCAGCTGCCTGTGGACCAGTGACTTGAGAAGCAACTGGCAGTGGACCAGAAGCTGCAGTACTTAGCGGGTGGGACACTGAACAGTGTAAGAATGTCCCCAAATGAGCCTTTTCAGGGAGAAAAACACGGAAAAAACATACAACAGAACTGGCAGGCGTGTGGGCGCAAAGGTCACATCGCCAAATTGCTGTCGTCGAGACGATGGCTCAATCAAATCAAAGTCTGTCCTCACTTCAATTTACAGCCACATCAGCTCAAAGACACCACAACACAAAATCACCAGTAGGCCGGAGGAGCAAGCAGGGGTGACCCATGTGGCCTCTAGAGTCCAACAGCCCAGGCTCAGAACCTGCCTCCACCACTTACAAGCTGGTGGCACACTACTCAGGCACACTACCTGACTTCACTGGACCCCAGTTTCCAAGGCTGCAATGGGAAGACAACAATGCCTATCTCATGGAAGATAATAATACAAAATTCTGAGAAGAGTGAGTAAATACCAGCTGCTTTAATTTCTCTTTATTTGCTACTTCATAAAACTTCTGAAATGAAGTTTTATTGGGATGTGGAGTTATCTCAACTGCCCCAATTTGAAAGCTATCGGCAGGCAAAGGGTCAGTAAAAGGCAGGAGACCCCAACTCCACTGCAACCCAACGTGTAAGGAGTATTCTCGAAAATCTAACACAGGAAGTCCAGAGGTGAACATGGGCATCTGGAAAGTTTTCCACCTGCTTCTCCACGGCTGATCTGGAGGTCTGATCACACTGAAGAAGCATGCACATGGGGTCCAGGCACTGATACAAAGGCTCAATGCTCTGGTGTGGAACAGGGTGGGGCCACTCTCGCTCTCCTACCTAGCTCCCTGAGATTAAACAAGCCTCTCAAACACCGCTCCACCCACCCCGCCCCACCCTGGCCTCAGCTTCTCTGCCCGGAGAACACAGCAATGGGGAGAGAGCCCAGCCCCGCTGGACCCCTGATCTGCACCTGGCCCCTTCCTCCTCTGCAGTGAAGTCCCCCTACTGTCCTCCTGACCACTGAGGCCAGCCCAGCCCACCACCAGACCCCCACTCCCTCTACACCGGCCCGCGTCCCCAGCGCCACATCACCCCACCAGCACGTAAACACACCAGTATTTCTTCCATCTAGGAAAACACACACACGCCTCTCCTAGCTCCACACCTGCCGGTAGCTCCCACTTGCTCTTTCCGCACCTTTTCAGAGAACTACCTGAAAGAGCTCTCTGCTTGGCCTCCAATGCTCCCTCAAAAGCACTGCTTCTGTTCCACTGCTCTGAGGAATAGGCACTGCAGGGGCCTCCACATGGCAAACGCCAAAGGCTGCCTGGCCTGTCAGCACAGCACCCAAGCCCCCTGTCCCATCTCCCCTTCCTGGAGCCTGGCCACCCTTGACATTGAGGGCAGCAGCCCCGCCTGGGTCTGTTCTTGCTTCTGAAGCCCCTCTATGGGAACCTTGACCAGACCAACCACATCTCAGCTTTGGGATTTATAACACTACTTAATGCCCTAGTTTTAAAGTTCGGTTCATTCAAATTTCTGCCACAGCAAACACCCCCTCATTCATAAACTAGTCTAAATACATACAACACTAGCCTAAATTTCCTTAGACGACCACAGTCCACCTTAACCCCAAGCAGCCTTCGGGTCCCATCTGAGAAACTGCTCTGCGCTAGTCCAGCGCTCTGAGTCAGCCAGCTCCGTGCAGCTACCGTCGCTGCTGGCTCTGTCCGGGCCAGAGGCTCAGCAGAGAGCTGCTCCACTCAGCTCAAGCCACGCTCTCTCAAAATGGTGCCAACAAAAGGCTGCACGTCCAGGGGAACACACCTGCTCCTGCAGCCTCCGAGGAAGCATAGAACACTGGCATGGCCATACAACAGACGTCATGGCTGCTTTTTGGTAAGATCAGCGACCTCCACAAGGCACGCCTACTCTCCTCCAGCTAGAGAAGTGTTCTGCCTCACGCAGCAGGTGAGGAAACAGACCCAAGAAGGCGGGCCTCTTGTTCAAGTTCTTGGAGCTCTAGGAGGAGAGGGGTACCGTCCTCCCGGGGGGGCTCCTGCCAGGATGAGCCCCCGACGAGCAGCACTCACACATGCAGGCTCACTGGGAAGGGCATTCCAAAGCATGAAGCATCTGTTTTTGAGGAAAGGAGGACACAGGTATTTCTGCCACCAAATTTCTTTCCTCGTCTAAAGTACTGATCTCCAAGTGGATGTGCAACTGAATGCCAGCTGACAATCTTAATGGCTGGCAGAGAGCATGAATTCCCTGAAGATCCAAGCCATGAGCAATCTGAAAGCATCACCAAGTATTATTCCTCTGACAACAAAATTCTCCCCATGAAGAAATGAAAGATAACTGAAAAGAGGGAGAGACTGAAGGAGAAACGAGAATTTATTACAGGCCATAATTCTCCCCATGCCATCAAACTTATTTAATGCATAATCAATGATTTTTGTTTTGTTCCTGAATCAGTTCTATTTTCAGGGGGAGAGGGATGCCAAACATTTCAGAAGAGCTGGAGGTGGAAAAGCAACCAGCTGAAACCCGATGCCTTAAATACACACGGAGTATTTATATTTACAACGAGTGTCCAGTGATCTGAACCCTGGGAAGCATTATGAGCTGACAAAACCAGTGCTGAAGAAGACAAATCCACAGTATTTATCCAAGGTATCAGCTGCTTAAACTTAGCTACACTAATGTTCACCAAGATCCATACCCTTATTTTCAGTTAACAAAAGGTCAGAATTTATAATCAGCAACACAGTTCATAAAACAAGCTCTGGCTCGGCTGTGCTGTGTGATCTTGACAGTCACATAATCTCTGTTTTCCTATTTGCAAAAAAAAGAGAAAATATTTACTTGGATCATCTCACTATTTTAAGGAACTTTATCACTGTTTATAATGCACTTTGCCCTTAGACAAAACCTTCTGGCGGAAATTTACAACGTTCATTTTAAAAATCCTGTGATTTCCCTGGACTTGGTTCCAGAACGGGCTGTTTGCCGCACTGAACCTGTCCCTCTTGACACGTTAACATTCTGTACCTGGTCTCCGGCAGCCCTGAGAAGTTGCTGGACAACAAGAATGGTGATATATCCTGCCCCCACTTCACTTCAGCCCCACCCTAAAGAGAAGATTGAATTTTCTTACTTGTATCTGATCTTTTCATCCATGTCTTGAGGTGGTTCTTCAATAATGAATGAGACTAAATCTTCGAGACATTCTGCTTTTAAGAGAAACTCTATAAGTTTGCGGTTCTGTGCTTTACACTCCTGTAAAACATCTTCCTCATCCATTAACTCCTTCAGCGTTACATCTTCTCTTTCTAGAAGTGTGTCTATGTGGGATGATGAGTGAAGATCAAATTTCCAAAACATGCTGGTCTAAACAAAATGCAGAGATATTTAAAATAAAACTTCAACTTCACATATTAATTTTTCAAATTTCCACTTAGTTTTACAGTCTAAAATGCCAACTTGAATCACATGAGAAAAACAAGTTTCATTTTGAATCTATAAAGTACCTTCTAAGTAAGTAAAACTGGTAAGACATTTTCCTTCTCAGAAAATATTTTTATAGATACCAAAAAATTCTGACTTGAAAACGCTGAAAGAATGCTAAAACCTGGTATTTTAACCTGCAAAATTAATCCATGCATACTTAAAGAATTTAGTGCTGGGAAAGGAAGAAAATAAATCTTTTCTTCAGGGTGAGAAATACATTCTTACACAGAACTAGTATCCTCAACTACAAATGACAAGTATTGAGACCTACGTATGAGGTACTCTCCAGAATATTACAACATTAAATAACCACCACAAACCAGAACTTTTAGCCCCAATAGCACCCAATTTTCACAGCTGAAAATCGGAAAGTCGTAAAACAGTAAAACCTATGCCAAAATCACTGCAGATGGTGATTGCAGCCATGAAATTAAAAGGTGCTTACTCCTTGGAAGAAAAGTTATGACGAACCTAGATAGCATATTAAAAAGCAAAGACATCACTTTGCCAATAAAGGTCTGTCTAGTCAAGTCTATGGTTTTTCCAGTGGTCATGCATGGATGTGAGAGTTGAACGGTGAAGAAAGCTGAGCGCCGAAGAGTTGATGCTTCTGAACTATGGTGTTAGAGAAGACTCTTGAGAGTCCCTTGGACTGCAAGGAGGTCCAACCAGTCCATCCTAAAAGGAAAGCAGTCCTGGGTGTTCATTGGAAGGACTGATGCTGAAGCTGAAACTCCAATACTTTGGCCACCTCATGCGAAGAGCTGAGGTTGCCATTTCTTGTATATGCTTATTTTGATCTATAAGCCAAATTTCTGATACTCTAATAGTCTCTCCACTTGAAGTCAGAAAGCTAGATGTAGTTAATAATTTAGTCTTAAGTCTTAAAAAAAAATAGGTCTCATTTAAAGTAGCATGTCTTTTCATTTTTTTGGAATCCCACAGATGAAGGCAAAATATAAAGAAAAGTATTAATAAATGAATCACAAAAGCAAATCTGATACAGCCCTTACTATTGGCTAATTTATCAGCATAAATAAAATACACACTCATGATCATCAACTTAAAACTGTAAATGTCCACAAACTATTAAAACATGGATCAAGATATAGCCACGTATCTACATCGATTAAAAAAATAACTTCCAAAATTTTAACCTTATAAAGGTAACTCATCATATACTGGTTTATAGAAAAAAATGATCATTAGTGGTGCCGAAATAACAAGTGTTGGCAAACTTTGGCTCATAGACCAAATCCAGCCCAAAGACTGCAAGCTAAGAAGGGCTCTGATACTTTTAAAGGGTTGTTAAAGAGAACGGAGTTGTTAAAGGTAAGATTATGTGACAGTGACCATAGGGGCCTGCACATTTACTATCTGGTAGTTCACAGTAAAGTTCAGTGTCCTGTCTCACATTCCTTTCTGCCATCTCTGCAACTGCCTGGAGGAGTGGAGCCACGCGGTGCCAGGCATGACCATCTACCAGATTCATTCTCTCCCTTCCATGGGCATTTGCCTAGACCACGTCCCCAGCTTCTTGGGCAGGTAGGTATGGCCACATGACAATGTTTTCTCCAATGTGCTGTGAGCCATCAAAACCTCCAGGTGGCCTCCTTTTCATCTGGCTGAATGCTGATGACAAAAAAAGACCGTGAGACAGACAGTAAGGCCCAAAGATGGAAGGTACCTAAATCCCCGAGTCAACCTGTGGGCGCTGCCCGCCCACCTGAGAGTCACCCCAGGCCACGGTGGGAGGAGCCACCACACAGCTGGTCTGGGATCCAGCAGGACAGCCCACGTACCCAGCCACTTCCTCCAATCTCCTCAGCCCACAGCGTCAAGTTCCTTTATACTTACTTTACTATACATATGAAAAGAATTCTTGGGCAACTATGTGTTTTAAAATGCCTAACTCCTTTTGCTCTCCACTATCCTAAATTAGAATAGCATTTTTCAAATCAGGACACCTTAAAATACACATTTCCACAGTGCATTTTCTTTAAATTGAGTAGGTATACTACAGGCTTAAAAATAAAACAAAACCACAGTAGACTCTTAAACAAACATCATTTTATCTTCCAGCCAAACAGCAAACTGGACTGGAGGCAAACAGTGCTGGTCAATCAGTTACCCCTGGCCTGCCCCTAAGTTCTACTAACTTGACCTTTGAAGTGGAATCAAGCTAGGCATGAACTAACAGGTACAAAGGTCAACTGACAGGGGCCCTGAGGTAAATGGAGCCCTTTGAAAAATGTCTAACATACTAAAAAAAAAACACACACACACCTGAAAGAAGTCAGAATTTCAGCAGCTCATTTTGAGTAAATGTAAGTACTCTAAAATTTTTACCCTAGCTATATACCTCAATAGGATTGAGAGAAAGAGGGAACACAATTTCTTACAGTAAACCAAATCACAGACTTTTAAATCAATACTAACAAAGAGATAAATGGTAAAATCAAACTACTCTCCATCTTTCTGAAAAATCCTAGAGTTGTTTTTGCCCTTCATGGATCACAGCCTTGTCACAGCAAAGGGGCTCATATAAGTCAATGAAGCTATGAGCCATGCCGTGCAGGGCCACCTAACATGGACGGGTCCCAGTGGAGAGTTCTAACAAAATGTGGTCCACTGGAGGACAGACTAGTAAATCACACCAGTATTCTTGCTGGGAGAACCCCATCAACAGTATGAAAAGGCAAAAAGATATGATACCAGAAGATAAGGCCCCCAGGTCAGAAGGTCTTCAGTACGCTACTGGGGAAGAGCAGAGGGCAATTACTATCAGCTCTAGTAAGAATGAAGAGGCTGGGTCAAGGTGGAAATGACACTCAGTTGTGGATGTGTTTGGTGATGAAAGTACAGTTGGATGCCGTAAAGTACAGTATTGCATAGGAACCTGGAATGTTAGGTCCACGAATCAAGGCAAATTGGATGTGGTCAAGCAGGAGATGGCAAGAGTGAACATCAGCATCTTAGGAACCAGTGGACTAAAATGGACAGGAATTAGTGAATTTAATTCAGTTGACTATTATATCTACCACTGTGGGCAAGAAGAAATGGAACAGCCCTCAGAATCAACTACAGTCTGAAATGCAGTATCTGGGTGCAATCTCAAAATGATAGAATGATCTCAAGTGTCAAGGCAAACCATTCAAAATCACAGTAATCCAAGTCTATGCTCCAACCACTAATGCCAAAGAAGCTGAAGTTGACTAGTTCTAAGAAGACCTACGAGACCTTTTAGAACTAACACCCCAAAAAGATGTCCTTTTCATCACAGGGGACTTGAATGGAAAAGCAGGAAGTCAAGAGGTATCTGGAGTAACAGGCAAGTTTGGCCTTGGAGTACAAAATGAAGCAAGGCAAAGGCTAACAGTTTTGTCAAGCAAACACACTGGTCATAGCAAATATGGTCTTCCAACAACACAAGAGACAACCCTATATATGGACATCACCAGATGGTCAATACCGAAATCAGACTGATTCTGTTCTTTGCAACCAAAGATGAGAAGCTCTATACAGCCAGTAAAAACAAGACCTGGAGCTGACTGTGGCCCAGATCATGAGCTCCTTATTGCAAAATTCAGGCTTAAACTGAAGAAAGTAGGGAAAACCACTAGGCCACTCACATATGACCTAAATCAAATCCCTTGAGTATACAGTGAAGGTGATGAATAAGATTTAAGGGATTATTAGATCTGATAGTCAGAGTGACAGAAGAACTATGGATGGAAGTTTATAACACTGTGCAGTAGGCAATGACCAAAACCATACCAAAGAAAAAGAAATGTAAGAAGGCAAAGTGCTTGTCTGAGGATGCCTTACAAATAGCTGAGAAGAGAAGCAAAAGGCAAAGGAAGGGCAAGATGTACCCATCTGAACGCAGAGCTCCAAAGACTAGCAAGGAGAGATAAGAAAGCCTTCCTAAGTGAACAATGCAAAGAAATAGAGGGAAAAATAGTATGGGAAAGACTGGAGATCTCTTGAAGAAAATTAGAGATACCAAGAGGACATTTCATGCAAAGATGGGTGCAATAAAGGACAGAAACACTATGGACCTAACAGAAGCAGAAGAGATTCAGAAGTGGCAAGAATACACAGAAGAAATGTACAAAAAAGATCTTCACGACCCGAATAAGCACGACGGTGTGGTCACTCACCTAGAGTCAGAAATCCCGGAGTGTGAAGTCAAATGGGAAGCATCACCACAAATAAAGCTAGTGGAGGTGATATTGAGCTATTTCAAATCCTAGAAGATAATGTTGCTAAAGTGCTGCACTCAGTATGTCAGCAAATGTGGAAAACTCAACAGTGGCCACAAGACTGAAAAAGGTCAGTTTTCATTCCAATCCCAAATAAAGGCAATGCCAAAGATGTATAAACTATCATACAATTGGGCTTACTTCACATGCCGTCAAAGTTATGTTCAAAATCCTTCAAGCTAGGCTTCAGCAGTTCATGAACTGAGATCTTCCAGATGTACAACCTGGGTTTAGAAAAGGCAGAGGAACCAAAGATCAAATTGCCAACACTCGTTGGATCACAGAGAAAGCAAGGGAATTCCAGAAAAACATCTATTTCTGCTTCATTGACTACGCTAAAACCCCTGACTGTGTGGATCACAACAAACTGTGAAAAATTCTTAAAGAGATGGGAACACTGGTCCACTTTACCTGTTTCCTGAGAAACCCGTATGCAGGTTAAGAAGCAACAGTTAGAATGAGACATGGAAGACAGACTGGTTCAAAACTGGGAAAGAAGTATGCCAAGGCTGTATACTGTCACCCTGCTTCTTTAACATCTATGCAGAGTACCTCATGCAAGACCCGGCTGGATGAATCACAAGCTGGAACCAAGACTGCAGGGGCAGGTATCAG